TTTCCCAACCCCCATCATCTTTTTTCCTTTAGTAGTTAGAGAGATATACATATAAAATCTATAAAGGGCCGGCCACTCCTACTTTTTAAAACCTTTCAAATACAGATGTTCCTCTTTACAGGGATCCTCAGTTGTTGCTAAGTTATAGCACTTTATAGTTTTTTTAACGACATTTTGTGGACGTGGTAAAACTGAAACTTTGATAAGTGAGTGGATTACATTACATTATGGGTATAAATCACCGGTTAATTGTCCAACAGCACTACCGGAGATTTCTGTTAAAGTATCTATGAGTTTCTTAAGGGCCAATTGACAATTTTATCTGAAATTCGCGTGTACCTGTGATTGTTCATCGTTTTCTTACGAAAAGGCCTTATGATTTAAACGGTGTGTTAGTTCCGCGTTTTTTTAAGAAAATTGAGTACGTACGTATATAAATGTATTTCAAACGTAACGCACTTTACATTATATTTGGTTCAGTGATATGCTGAGCTGTAAGCTTTTGAAATCTAAATGTAAACGTCAAACGTCAAGCTTTTGTCAAAGAAAATGCTTTTGACTTTTGCTTTTGGTAAAACAAAATAAAACTGCCAGACGCATTCAGTTCGTCCGTCGATTCTTATCATATTTTCTCTGAAAAGTATTGTGTAAATCGGGCTAAATATGGCTTGAAATTGTTTAAAAATTTATATTACGATAAGTGTCTTAAGCTCTATTACTGTTTAAACATTATATTAACAACAACAGTAGCGGAAAAGTGACTATAAAAAATTAAAAAAAAAAAACAATATCAACAAAGTATGGACGAGTGTCATCCGCCCCCACTAAAAGTAAATGAGTAACTTGTACACAAAACTAAGGCAAAGGCAAATTCATTGGTGCGATAGATTCGTTCTATCAATCGAGCCTGCCATTGCGTTGCACCGTAATACCCCATTTTCGCATGCTCTACTGTGATAATGGAAATGTGAAAAGTTAATTGAATCAGTGTCTGAAAATAATAGTATTTGCAATACACACACAACGTATACAGTTGCAAATCAAAGTGCAACGTTATATAGTGCCAGTGACCCGGAAAACATAATAACATAAACTTGACAATCACATAAATATGGAGTTTGCCGATCTTATAAAAACGCCAAAGCTAGATGGAGTCTTCTTACACGACCATCTGCATGCAACAGTTGAAGGAACGCTCTGTATCACCGGTCATCATCTGCTGTTGAGCGCTAGACAGGAGAATAGCCAAGAGTTATGGGTAAGTGAATGGTTAATATGAATATGCAGTCAAACAAAGGCGTTGAGGAAGCACTGACATGGAAAGATGTTGGAAGTGTGCCTTTTTTTTATTTGTGTCTCTTACCACCAATCCTTGGTTGTACATAACATATTCAATTAGTTCAGTCAGGCGTACTGTTTACTTTAAAATTAGCATTTACCATGTCAACAAATTTGACTGAGCATTGATCACATACACCCGTTCTTACGTACGGTCTATATATACACATATGTATAAGTATGTTTGCTAATATACAACTTTCCTTATTGTTCATTCACAGTTGCTGCACAAAAATATCGACTGTGTGGAGAAAAAACCTTGTATGGTGCAAAACATGGTGATGGGCGGCATCATAACGCTGAAGTGCAAGGACTTACGCATCATTTCACTAGAGATTAAATATGCTAAAGAATATTTTAATGTTGCCGCGTCGTTGGAAGCACTCAGTTCGTTACACAATCCTGAACTCGAATATCCTTTTTTCTATCGACCAATGTATACCATACTTGAGGACGGATTCACTATGTTCCGGTAAATACAAAGCATGAGTATATTTCATGATTCTCCTTTCATATGTCTTTTGCTTGTTATAGCCCCGAACTAGAATTTACAAAATTAATTTCCGGTGTTGCCTACAATCTACAAAATGGTAATGAAAATTGTAGTGTCGGCGGTGGAGCGGTAACTGGCGCTGCTGGTGGCTGCGAATGGCGTATCACGACAGTCAATAAGGATTTTAGTGTGTGCCCAACGTATGGCACTGCACTTATTGTGCCTAAATCTATTACGGACGAGCAAATTGTGCAATCGGCTGCATTCAGAGATGGCGGTCGATTTCCGGTGCTCAGCTATCGGCATGAAAATGGGGTGAGTGGATAAATAAATTATCGTGATTATTGTAAAAAGTAGACAAGAAGAAAATGTATGTCATCTCCACGATGTACGTAATGATTTGTGTGTATATTGCCAAATTATAGAACATTTCTTATGAACATAAATACATTTTAATTAATTTAACTAATCTCCATCATATTTCTATGAATGCAGTTGTGTACTACATTTAGATAAATTAATTTATAAATGTGTGCGCCTATGTTTGATTGTTTGTGCCTTTTCATATAAATACGCGCTGTTGCTGAAGGCTATTTTGAGATTGGGTATATGCCATTCACGATTTAATGAATAATCTACTATTTTCAAACCGCTAACCGATTATAAATATTGCTTTATTTGCTTGTGTTTCCTCGTATTTATAGGCTACGCTAATGCGCAGCTCGCAACCCGTCTCCATACAAGGTATCAAACGTTGTCGTGCTGACGAAGCGATACTGAACGTTGTGCTGGGACGCAGTAAAAAGGGTTTCATTGTTGACACCTGGGGAAAGGGTAAATCAAACACTGAAACCGATCAACATTACTCACAATGGAAGAAAGTGAATCGAGCTATTGGCAATGTATCGGCGCCTTCTGCAATTTTGGATAGTTACACCAAACTTATTGAAGGTATTCACACATTTTCCAAGCTGCTCTCTCTTTTTGATATTATTTTCTTGATTACAGCATGCAATGATATCTCATGTTCCGCGGACAAATGGTTGTCACGCCTTGAAGCAAGCGGCTGGTTAAGTCTCGTGCTGAATTCACTAAACGCTGCCTGTGTAGTTGCGCAATGTCTGGATCAAGAAGGCAGTCCGGTGTTGGTGCATGGCTCTAAAGGTTTGGACTCCACACTAATTATAACGTCATTGGTGCAGATAATACTTAATCCTGATTGCCGCACAGTGCGCGGGTAATGCTTGCAATTCTGGCAATGCTACTATCTGGAATTTTTCTTATTAAAGCTTCATTTTTAATTAGCATACAAGCTTTGATAGAACGTGAATGGATACAGGCCGGTCATCCTTTTGCATCACGCCATCGCTATGGCTGCTATACGCCTGCACAGAATCGGCCGAAAAACTCTGGTGCCTCCTTTGTGTTATTTCTGGATTGCATTTACCAGCTATATACACAATTCCCCTGCAGTTTCGAGTTTAGCTTACAAATGCTAATTTTACTTTATGAGCATAGTTATTTCTCCCAATATGGTACATTTTTGTGTGATTCTGAACGCGAACGTCATGAGTTGGGCGTACATACGCGCACCACTAGTTTGTGGTCTTACCTCAACCGACCGGATGTGCTGAAAAACATGCTAAACCCATTGTACGAACCAAATTCAAGTGTAATTTGGCCAAGTGTGGCACCGATCTCATTGGAATTGTGGAGCGGTAATGATATTGATTGACTTCAAAGTTACTCCTTAATATTTATAAATTGTTTACTACACGAAATTCTAGAGCTCTATCTGCGTTGGACCATCGAACAGAAAAATAATACAAAAACTATGCAACAAATACAAGAACTGGTCACGCAGGAAAAGGAATTGCGTGCGAAAGTAAGACTACAGTTACATTCCGAATGTACCCATTTATAATTCTAAATTTTTACGTATCTATTTTCACAGGCAATACGATTACGCAAGCAAGCTTCAGATCTAAGCAATGAAATGGAGGATCTTATGATATCCGATTAATCAGCACAACCGCTCGTGGTCATCACCAGTTAACATAGAGCAAGTGAATATTTCCAATGCTAAATAAGGAAAGATAAACTAATTTTTGCAATATGCAGTTCAAATTTTTAACTTTGCTCTCTAAGTGTCTCTCTAAAAAATATACGAACGTAATGAATTCGAATAGTCTTCTGGCATTGCACCGCGCCACCGTGGTGTGCACACCTGTAAATTGAGTCAATTTTTGGCGCATTTTTATTGTAATTTGATATAAGTTAATACTTAAGCTAATAATAAATAAAAATCAAAAATTTAATTCCGTTTTGGAGGACGATTGCAAGAGAACAATAAGTATGATGGTTTAGCATGTACACACATCTACATACATGCGTATAAATTTAATAAAAGCCAATTTAAAAATGTGAAAAACAGACAGACGCACTGAAATAATTCAAAAACTTCGAGAGTAGCAGACATAAAAATCGTAATATAATATTAATATTTTTCCAAACTATAGTTAACATCGTGGTCATCAGAAAGGTGCTATTTTCTATAAACGGAAAGCATTTTTTAAACAATCAAAATACCGTTGCGGTAGTAATTCGATAGGCGAACGGGTAATACCATAAAAGTAAATAAAATTATATAATTTCTTTAGAAAAATAAAAGAATAAAATAAATTTTAAAAATTAACTTTCTGTGACTAAATTTTACTTTTATCGTGTGCCATAAGTCCCTAACGTATATAAATTTTGTTAAAAATATAAATGCTTTAGTGTTTCGGTTTATCGAATCACTATTGTACTTCTACTACTACCAATTTCGGCAAATATCTTCAAATATGAAAACGAAATTAAAAAGCGGAGAAAGCATTAGTATGCGATAGAATATTATTTCAAAAGTATTACAAGCTTGCTTATTCAAGTCTTATTACGCGAAATGTTTTATAAGAAAACAAAAATACCACTTAGTTAGTCCTGGAGTCTCAATAAAAATTCTAATGCAATTTAACATCTAAATTTTTTGTTTTCGAATCAATTTAATGCGCTGCTTTTTTTTTGTATAAATCAATAGATAACAGGAATTATCAGATGCAACAGGTGATGGAACTCTAAAGCAAATTTCTAAAAATAAAAAAAACTTTTATAAAATAACAACACAGTTTCATTTATGCATCTTGTCGGCTCTTAGTTCGCTTTTGTAAACAATTTATTTTTCTATTACAAATTTTCCGATTTTAGTATTGTTGAAAAATTGTATAAAATAGTTTGTAACATAAAACTCTGTAATGCTTGAAGAATATAGATAACATTACAAGACAAAATTGGTATCAAGCAAAAAAAACATTACAAAAATATAAATCCGCACTTAATATAAACCAAAATTTGGTTGGGTTGAGCTATGTTTTTTTGTTTCGCCTTTTTTTTGTAAAGCTTACAAAACTGTTGAATGCATAAAAACATTTATGTCTAAACAATATACGGTTCCGAGTGCAAATGCAATGTATTTCCATTGGATAGTATATCCGTTTAATTGCCGGCATCATCCTCCAGGAAAAAGAATTGACCGGAACGTTTTTGTTCGGTATCCTGCATGTGAAAAATATAAATAATATCAATGTTTGTATATATGTGCGGGTGTATATGAAAGTAATTTTTGTACCTTAACCGAGTTGTTTTTGTTAATGCGTGGCCTGAAGTTGTTGGGATCTCGGCGGAAAGTAATACCTAAGAGTTCCAGGAATCTATTCATGCCATTTAGCAAAGATTGCGGTGAGAAAGCAGTAGTTTTCACTGAGGGTTGACCTTCGAGCACAATAACGCGATCCGCAAGGTAAGTAGCCATGATGAAATCGTGCTCTACAACAAAGCCTGTGCGTTTCGCATGTAGAATGAATCTATGAAAATATACAACAAAAATTAATCAAACGTAATATAGAAAATAATTAGTTTGCTTACCTCTTAATGACTTTAGCCGCTACTAAACGTTGTTCAGAGTCTAGATAAGCGGACGGTTCATCGATCAGATACACATCAGCTGGCTTTCCCAGACATAAAACTAAAGCAACACGTTGCAATTCACCACCAGACAAATTCTGTACTTCTTGATCCATGATTTCCTCGATTTTCATAGGCTTCATAACGTCCGCAATAAATTGCGGATGCACGTAGGCGTCACGAATTTTGTCGTGCAACAAATGACGCACCAAATTTTGGAACTTTGGTGAAATTTTCTGTGGCTTGTAAGAAATATTCAAAACTGGCAAATCAACCTCTTCATCTGGTTGTAAATTACCGGCCAACATTCTAATAAATGTGGTCTTGCCAGTACCGTTTTCCCCCAATAGCACAAGAATTTCCGAATCACTGAAATGGCCTTGCTCCACGGTCAATTCAAATTTACCCAATGTCTTTTTCATGGCAGGATATACATAGTGGTTCATACGTTTAATTTCCTCTTCGGTAGCGGATTCAGATACCTAAAATGTAATTTTCAAATGTATTTATTTCAACCACAAATTAGAGCCCATTACCTTAAAAGTCAACGATTCAGTACGGAAACGCATATTCTCGGTCGGCACAAATCCGTCCAGAAAAATGTTGATGCCTTCACGTACCGAGAAAGGCATAGTAACCACGCCATAAACACCTGGTACGCCATAGAGACAGCAAATGAAATCAGAGAGGTAATCTAAGACTGACAAATCGTGCTCCACCACAATAATGAACCTGCATTAAGTTTTTACATTAATATAGGTTTTAAAACATTAAATAGTGTATTTTTATACTTTGTTGGGTGCAATAAATGTCTGATTGTTAAAGCGGCGTTTAGACGTTGTTTAACATCCAAATAAGACGATGGTTCATCGAACATGAAAATATCACCATCCTGGATGCACACCATAGCAATAGCGAAGCGTTGCAGTTCTCCTCCCGATAACTGTGCTATATCACGATCTCGTATATGCAGCAAATCTAACATTTCACAGATTTCGTGCTGATTTTGGCGCTCGTCTTTTTTGTCGAGTAATTCCGCAACAGAGCCACGGACCGCTTTAGGTATCTGATCAACATACTGCGGCTTTACCAACGCTTTTAAATTATCCTCTAATATTTTTGTGAAATAGTTCTGCAATTCTGAACCACGAAAATATGCTAGAATTTCTGTCCAGTCTGGTGGGTCACTATATCTTCCCAGATTAGGTTTTTGTTTGCCTGCGAGTATCTTTAAAGCGGTCGATTTGCCAATACCGTTTTGACCAACTAATCCTAACACTTCACCAGGTCGTGGAATTGGGAGACGGTGGAGTTTGAAGGAGTTTTTGCCGTAACGATGAGTTGTATGTTTCTCCAAATTGCTGGGTATATTAATGATTGTTATGGCCTCAAATGGGCATTTCTATAATAAATAAAAATTGTAGTAAGTGTTGCAAAAATTAGTAACAAATAATATTACCTTAACACAAATACCGCAACCTATGCAAAGTTCTTCTGAAAGAGATGCAATTTTGGAAGTAGGCGTGACTTCAATGCAAAGCTTTCCCATACGCACTACAGGACATGATTTCTTGCACTCCTGACGACAACGCTTTGGTTTGCATTTATCATCGCTAACTATAGCAATACGCGTTTGTTTATCTGTCTCCTCGTGGTCTTTTCTACGCGACATGCTAATAAAGAGAGAAATATGCGAATATTATACGTATTTTTAAAGTGAAAACGTGTTTTCTTTTTGTATTAATGTACATTGACAACGAAGCAATCTACTCTCACTACTTGTGCTCTTCCCCGCACCAACTATTCATACACGCGTATTTACAAGTCAGCCTGGTTGGCATTGCATTTGCAATAGACAGACAGACAGACAGACTATCATGGTCAACCAAAGCACCCAAAATATAACCTCAATTTTGTTTAATATAAATTAATCACAAATTTCTCGTATAACGCACACACAAATTCCTTGATTTTCAACTTAATTACTAAGGTAATACAATTTATAGAATATTTAGTTGTAATACCTTAAAGATTAAAAAATTTACTAAATACGGCGAACTAAACACCTCGCCAAGGAAATTTCAAAAGGGAATGTCAAAATGGAAACGTCATTAAAGAGAACTGCGTTACCTTCATATTTTGATCGATAGTACCGTAATTTTAAATTATACAATCTATTAATATAATTTAAATTACTACATAAATTCTGTTGATTACCAACTGCCCTGATGGATAAGAAGATTTCATTGTATTAATTATTTAAAAATATTTAATGGAAATAACTTTAAGTCTTTTGTAATAACTTAAAAAATGACAATTCCACACAAAGCTTCGTTATGTGAAACATATAATTTAAGGTGTTGTCAAAAATCGATGACGTTTTGACATTTCGCATTACAGTCCATAGTTGTATTTCGTTGTTTAGCATTCGAATCAAAATTAACACGTCTTAAAATTGTTATTATAATTAAAAATGGTGGAAGAAACCTCTGTAGTTGAAAATGTGGAGAACTCTGAAGCGGAGCAAGCTCCACCGCCACCGGAACCCATCAAAATATTCACTGTAGAAAGTAAGATGAGAAAACTGCGTTCATTCACTACCCTTAACCTAGAAATACAAACTGCAGTTTAATTTTTGCCATTACTTTGACTCTCTTATTTGTTGTGTAAAATATATATTTTTTTCGTATTGTAGTTCTACATATGGTGAAAGATGCTCAACAACAGCATGGTTTGAGGCATGGTGACTATCAACGTTACCGTGTTTATTGCACTCGTCGCATTCGTCGTCTGAGGAAAACCTTGAAGTACCCTCAGGGTGACAAGCGTCACTTTAAACGGAAAGATGTGACGTTAGCTCAGCTGACAGGAAAACGAGCAGATGAACGGTTCATACATATTCCATTAATAAGCGCGGAACGTGCATGGTCGTATGCAATGCAGCTAAAACAAGAAGCCAACACGGAACCAAGAAAACGTTTCCGTTTGATAAATAAACTCCGTAGAGCATGTTTCTATGCTTTACAATTACAAGAGATTTGCAATGTAAGTTTATTTTATTTATGTCTTGATTATCGAAACATTTTTTAATATACAAATTTCCTTTAAGTCTGAAGCATTTGATGCGCGCACAAAGCTGGAATGTGAAGCTTATGTTGCTTGGATGCACGGTACATTACACTTTGAATTGCAATTATGGGGTTCTGCCTTAGAGCATTTGAAACGAGCTCAAGTAGTTTATGAAAATCTTGCCAAGGCTCTGCCCGAGGACGAACAAGAACTGTATCGTGTTAAAGTGAACGAATTCACGCCTAATCTTCGTTATTGTGCTTATAATATTGGTGGTGGTGGTGGTGGCACTAATAAAATTGATGATTTGCTCGAATTGCGTGCACAGGGATTATTGGAAAATCTGGATCTATTAGTTAGTCAAACCAAAATGGATAGTAGCGAAGGTCTACAAACCATCGAATGGCGCAATCGCAAGGTTACTGTACGTCCGGAAAAAGTTCGCCTCTTTTTGCTCAGTATACAAGAAGTCGATAAGTCGCTAGAAAAGACTACTAAAGTAGACTCAAAAATTGAATTGATTGAACGTATTTTGATGGATTGCAAAGATGCCATACAAGCAGTTAAAGAAGAAATCAAACAAGATCCGAAGTTGCGCTCGCTAACTACAGGTCAGACTGTGACTGGAGTGCAATATTTATTAGCATATTTGTCATACATAAGACACAGTCGTACTTTGCAACGAAATCTCTGTCTTGTAGAGCAAGTAAGTGTTAAAACAGCAATTTAAAAAAAAAAACTTAAATTTTTGTTTTAATTTGTACCTAGGCTAAATGTAACTTCGATGACCCAAATCAAAAGTCAAAAGTTGTCGGCGAAGGCAAGCGTGTACGCGCACAAGATCTTGCCCGTTTATACGAGATTATTTTGCAAAACGTCACTGAAATGCTGCAAATTCAAGGGATGGAAGACGATGCCGCTTACAAAGACGAAATGGAAAATTTGGCTCTCACATTTAAAGCATTCCGTTGTTATTACATCGCACTAACTCTAATTGATATGAAAAAGTGGAAAGAAGCGGTTGCTCTTTACGAACGTTCATCGAAATATGCTAATGAAGCACTAAGCGGTAAAGTCAGTGATGAATTCAAGTTAACCGACGATTTGAAAAAACTTGTGTCGACTATTGATGGTTGTAAATTTTCTGCGCATGCATACAGTGTGCTTGAAAATGATACTTCCGACGATTCGGTTTCCACATCCAAGTCTCAAAAATCGACAAAGCCATTATACGAGCGCTTATCGCAGTACAAGGAAGATCAGTCTCTGCACACTAAAACGCCAAATGTGTTCAAGATGACACCCGAAATGGAGGCAATACCATGCAAACCACTCTTCTTTGATTTAGCGATTGGTCATATTGAACTACCATCACTGGATGATAAATTGCAGTCGCCCGGCGCATCGATTTCCGGTTTTGTCAAAGGATTTTTGGGTTGGGGTGGACGGAAATGAGGCGCCAGCAGGGTAACAACATTTAAAAATGCTACGAAAATCATTAAACATCTATTTAGTTAATTTCAAAATGAATGCAATATTGCATGCTTGTCCAAGCAGTTAGTGGAATTGCAATCAGAAAAAAAGTTCAGAACAAACTTATAATTGAGAGATGCATTTCGTACATCCTGAAACAAGCTAATTGAACAGTTAATTTCGAGTGCCGGTAATTGTTTTTTTTATAAATGTTTTTTTTTTTTTAATTTAATTTTTTGTTGATTCTTTTTCGGAATCAACTAAACCATAAACTTTTTTAAAGTGAATTGTGAAATAAAACATTGGTTTTTATATATACACAGTATATTTAAAAAAATATATATTTGTATTTTAGTCATTTTGGTAATAGCTTTCAGAACCAAGGTCTAACGCTAATCACATGTCTTTGTTCTACTAAAAGTAAACAATTGTTGCTAAATTTTACTAAATGCATATAGGTATACGCATGTGTGCATTGAACTATTTCCCTAACCAAGTACCAAAGTAGCCGTTTTGATGAAACTCTAACGCCAGATCCTTTATTCTGGAATGATACTCCTCGGTTAATTTTTGTGTAACTTTAATTTCGTTGGCATTTGGTACCGCTTCACTGATAGCATCTAAATTTGGTATATTATTAGGATCAAATGTAACTGCAGGCAATACCCACATGGATACAGCTAAGCCGTACAAAACATGTGCAGTGAATTCTTTAGTAATATTTTCTAATGAAAATGTCTTTCGTACTGATGCTAAATGCTCATTTGAAACTAAAAGTTGTTCCAAACGCGTATGTAGAGCGTCTCGGTAGGTTTCCAGCAAACGATTCGTATGCGCATCACGAAGTTCACGTTTTGTGCTGGTGAACATAAAATGCAGGATATCGAAAATAAACGATGTGTAACGCATTGCCTGAAAACAAAAAATTGAAAAATATACATACATATAAGTTTTGGATGACAAATTCAATGTTTCACCTGTAGATCGAAGAATTTCACCGCTTTCGGTGCTTGGCTTGCGCTGTCATCCTCCATGTTGGTTTTAAACATTATGTTGTTGACATACAAATCACCATGACACATTACGCTAACACAATCGCTGGCATTTTTAATACTATACATAATTTTCTGATACAATTCAGCTTTTAGTTGCTCTATCACATAAATTGAATCGGAAAGGCTGCCATCAACGTTGGATTCGCGTAAACTCTTCAATGATTCCTCTATTGAGGACGTGAGTAAATTCCCATAAAAGCTTTCCGCCTCGTCACAATACACAATTTCATTAACTTTGCTATAGCGCTCACGAAAATTGCTATCGTCCAAATGTTTAGCCGCTATAGAAGTAGCATGTAACTTGGCGAGTTCCTGTAGAAGAAGGTGGAAGAACTGTTTGTGTAGTTTTACTAATATAAATTTCTACATGTGTTTATATCTTGCCTTCATCACTATTTCACAATGATAAAGATCGAACGGCACCAAACGATTTGGCATGCGATAGCCGAGCCGCTTCAAATCCTCCAACGCTATCAGTTCGCCCTTCTTATCCGTGCCGGCATAATAGCATTGTGGAAATACTGTGTCTCCGTTGATGAAATATTTTTCTAGCGCTGGTATCACATGTGTATAGGCATTTATTTCATTGTAAAATGCTTCATCGCAACGAAATAGAAGACGGCGCGATTTACTTAAAATTTGTCTTTTAACTATGAAACTAAAATACTGTGAACCTGAAACAAAATTTTGGTATTTAATAGACATTTAAAGTAATGTGAAACGACTAACCATAAATAAATTATAACAAATCATGAAAATAAAATTGTTAAATGCTTAACTTAAGAAGCACTATTTTTTAGATACGTATAAAATACACTTGGAAGGCTAAGGCACATTGTTTTGGTTTGTGGTTGATATCTGAAACATCACAAATTTCAATTTCTCAACAGAAGCGTTTACTTGCCTTCGGCATAAAATACTTAAAATAATTTTTTGTCCGTCTCAAATTATTATCTGTTATTAAATAAACCAAAAATCGATTGTTCGAAAATATTTGCCTACCTGAACCATAGGTATACTACATATGAGAGCAAGGTGCACTCTGATGCACAGCTGATTTTTGTTTACATATTCTCAAGAAATAAAAATAAAATAGCGGTGAAACGAACAATGTGTATAAATTCTATTAAATTGATACAAACATACTACATACATATGTATGTATGCATGGTACATATATATAAAACAAACAAAATTGCTATGACCTTCGTGAGCGAGATTAGAAAACAAATTGGAGAGTATTCGTATATTTATGAAAGAGATGCCATGAGCGCGCTTTGAAAGTGAGAAGATTTTTCTGTATAGATTGAGCAGATGCTATGGTGAGGGCGTTTGAGCGCAGTTCTAATGTTTTCGTTTCTAGTTACATGTGTGTGCGAGACATTTGCGATAGCGCAGCCAAAAACGACTTGACGTTGCGCAAGGTCATTGCGAAAAATGCATATTGACGTTGTATAGAAACAATTTACATACATATGTATGCACTTACATATGTATGTATGTAGATAAAACTATTTTACAAAGAATGTTTCATTCTACAGAAGTAAAAATTAATATAACAAGAAAAACATTTACTTCGGTTGCACCGAAACTATAAACTCACAAATGCATAAGAACTTGATTTTAATCGGTCAGTTTGTATGGCAACTATATGCTATAGTTGTGCGACCTAACAAATTTCGGAGATTGTACTGTTATCCTGGATAATAATCCCTGCCAAATTTGTATGATAGCAATATGTTATAGTGGTTCGATCTGAACAAGAGATTGTAGCGTAGCTTTGGACAATAATCCTTGCCAAATTTCGCAAAGATATATGTATATCTCGTAAGTTAAAGAAAAATTTTCATATAAAGACATGATTTTGATCAATCCGTTTGTTTAGCAACTATCTACATACTTGTACATATGTATATTCTATGATGGGCTGTTATTGAGGGTTCCGAAAATGAACAGCTTCCTGTGGAGAAAATAATGTATGTAAAATTTTATATTGATATCTTTTAAGCTGAGAGACTAGTTCGCGTATATACGGACAGACGGATAATCAACTTAGCATGTTGCATATATTTATATATTTTATGGGGTCTCCGACATTTGTTACGAACTTCGTGGCAAATTTAATATACCCTGTATAAATATAAATAAGGAAGGGCTATATTGGGGTGCACATAAATATTTTTGCATAGGTGTAAATTCAACATTCGTTATTATAACTAGCGTGAGCAACGAAAATTTGTTGGAGTAGAAGAACGAAGTGTATGAAGTTTTATTTCGACACCGTCATTGAAATTACATTTTTTTTATTGTAAAGTGCAGGTATCTTCTATTTTAATCCTTCTTAAATGTAATACTTTCAACATTTTTGTTACAGAGTTATTTACAATTCTATGTGGGATGATCGTGGTGAAGTTCCGATATTACCCATTATGACGGTATATTGTAATGCAAGCAAATTTCCACCATATATGTATTGGTCTTTCATCTTTTGTGATGGAATCCACAATCTATAGCTTTAAAGCTCTCAATATTTGTGAGTTGATTTTAACTTTTCTATTGAACTTTGTAAAATTTAGTCAAGATAAAGTTGCCCAAGATTACAACTTTTTTTTGCTTAGTGAAAAAATAATACTAATCATATACCAGGATATCATGATAAATATAATTTTAACCTTTCCTTGTAGAGCCTACTTATGTTATATGCAATGGGAAGCACTGTAATACAATTTTCCGGAAGACAATGCTGATTACGACTCAATTATGTAAAAAAACTTAATGGAGCTGCTACAGTTTGGGTACAGTTTCAGCCAGTTATTTTTTTATTTTAACTTTCTTGACTAAAAATCATGCATCATCATGAAGAACGTTGTCCTAATCAACAATTTCATTAAAATTTCACCACTGTTTGGGTAATAACTACATATTTGGCATGTCTTTACAATTAAAAAGAACCAAAGTATTTATATCACCTTTACGCTCCGTCACGCCGCCGTCAAATTCATGCGTGCTCACTTCTATACGTTTAACTACGGACATGTAATTGTCTCCTAGACCACTGCCAGCCGAGCAACGCCAATATTTAACATTAAATGGTATCACTTTTCTTAAAGACACATAGTTGCACAATGTTTCCACGTCCTCGCCATATTCATTGACTTCGTCCATTTTCACACACACGTTTGCACATAAACTTCGCCGGAAGTTCAACGAAGGAGCAGTTTATAAGAATTCAGATTTTGCTACCGTTACAAAAGGCGCACGATACGTTCTTTGGTTTTCCACCAACTGTCAGCGTGGAAATCGAATTGCTGCACGGCTTTTACGGCCGTTAAAAAGGTGATAAGTCGTTGATTTCCGCAAAGCGCAGCGATATACACAAACACATGCACACGCATGCACACATGGGCGCATTCACGCAAACTGCTGCAGTTGTAAAAATCTAGCTGAGTTCATAGTTTTCACGGCAACTTCAATACAAAAAAAAAAATCGAAAACAAAAACAAAACCAAAAAAAATCAAAACTATGAGAAAATTCGTTTGACGATTTTCACTCATTTAAGGGGCAAGCAAAATACACGCATGTACATATGTACATATGGCATGTGCGGTCTTCATCACTGGTATTCACATGTGTTGGCATGTGCCAAACTAAGCGTGCCACTGTTACTTTCGTTCGTAACACGGTGACATAATTTTTCGCTACACTTGTGTTTATAAACAATTCATTTTATTTTATTTTATTTAATTATGCTGTGACACAACTAAAACAACACACGCTGCACTTATTCGTGACGGTATAAATTCTACGGTAAAGAAAAAATGAAATGCTCTAAAAATCTGCAAACATTCTGTTTGAGCCAAACGCCGAGTGAGAACTAAATTCTCAAGCGCCGGATGCATGTGCGGCAAACTCGAGCAATTATGCAGTTGCAATAAATGCACTAGCCAATAACTGTAAGTGCTAAAAAGGTATGCGTGCCTATGCGTGTCCGTGTGAGTGATGACGCTGACGGCGGCGTCGCTACTGCCGGGAAGGCAACTGCCTTGGCGCTAGTCTAAGTGCGACCGGTTCATATTTGTTTTTCTGTGCACTTTTCAAATGCATTTTTCTGCCTCATCAAATCATGTCTCGTTTTTTTCATAACAACAACAAAAAATTAACAATGTGCCATATGGCAAGAAAAAAAACAAAAAACAAAAAAAAAATAAGCAAAATAACTATTGAATTGTTTGAGTATGTGCTTATGTAGCTTGTAAAGCCGGCAACTTAGCAGCATAGACACGACCAGAAGTGAGCCCAAAACAAATGTCAACTAGTTGCAATTGCACATTAAAGCTCAAGGACAACATGACGTATGAGCAATTTTGATGATTTGCCAATGTCACTGTTTATGTTTATATGTTACTCGTGTGTTTGCATGCATGATATACATACATATTTATGTATGGACATATGTGCGCAGCCAGTCAGCTGTACATGTGGGTATGCCATTTAGCAGTAACACTGTATTGCAAAGATGACATTTTTGAATAGAAAGTATTTGACTTCCTCGTTAACTTCAGCTGATTTCTGCATGACCTGCTACATTTTGGGTGCACTTTGAGTTACGAAATATTTTGGTCAGAGAAATTTAGTATAGAAAATTTTGCAATTACTCACCACAGTGACTTACAAAACTCATTGCGCATGATAATCATAAGATATGGGGGTTCCGATAAATGGTTGCATTCATTTGTAAAATTTTTAGATTTTAATTTTCAACTTTTATATTTATGTATATACTTGTAATGTTCAAATTTTGAGTATTTTATTAGTAACGCTCTGATTTAGTAGTGTCTTCATCTTGCTGTATTCCTCTCAGATTTCTTAATTTAGGAAAATGTTCCTCGGTGCAGTAATTAACCTACATTTTCCCAACATTTTGTATAAAAACATATCTTATATATAAAGGTATAAAATAATGAAACTAAAGTATGTAAGATTTCTATCGTAATTTCTATAAAAATTATAATGTTGTTACGATCGATTAATTGTTAAAGATAAAAAAGAAAAAGAAAAATAAGAAAACAATTTAATTTCGTATGTTAGCTTCGGCATACTCCTCACAAATATAAAAAATTCCATACGAAAACTTGATTTTGATCGATCAGCTTGTATGGCAGCTATGTAGATGCTATAATGGTCTGATCTGCAAATTTTGTCAGGATATTGTTGCGTTGCAAATTTCCTGAAGATATCTTGTCAAATAAAAAAGTGTTCCATACAAGAGCTTTGGTGGCGCAAGTATGGCATATGGTATCCGAAATCTTTTATAAATAGTATTATAGTTAATATTCGCTAGCATATATTACCAGCTGTTAGTATTAGATAAAGATATCAGACCTAAATAAAATAATAATCAAAATAAGCGATATAACGCTATTTTTTAATATTGTATTTTTATTTATTATCTAAACGAAATTAGTTTACTTAATATATATTATTTCAGATAAACTAATTTCAGCCAACTGTGCTCACCATAATGCCAACTGCACTTGAAATTCATATGCATGTGTATCCTTGAGATACTTTAAAACATACACAGTTATTGCACTTGGCTTACTTTTGTTGGTTGCCATAGATTCAGCAAACCAAACGGCTGTTCGGTGGTGCAGTTGCTATCACTACCTCCTCTTTCTACATTTAGTCGGCCACCGCACTCTTATGTATGGTATATATACGTACGTTTATACATACATGCACATTAAGTGCGGTAGATTTGTCTCCAACCGGTCATTCATGCTTTTTTGTTATGATACACGATAAATAAATATGTATGTATATATATCCAACACATGCATAAAAACTGAAGTACATACATGTGTGTAAATATTTTTGTTGTAGACTTAGATAAAATGCATGCATGTTTGGGTTTTTAATGCGTAAGCAAATGCAAATGCAAAATGCAAAAAACTCAAAACATAAATTACTGCATAAACAGTTAGATGGACATACTAGCATACATAAATACACACATACATACATACGTATGAACACACATAGCGTGTGTATGAATTGGTCTGCTGCGTGCAATGCAACGCACGAGCGCACTTTTAAAATCGACATTCCGACTTTTCAATGCCGAACATGCGACGACCAATGTCATTGCTAGCAACTCTGGAGCAAACGACAATTTTTGCTATAATCACACACATACACATATATACGCACATTTAAGTGTATATGTAAGGTTAAATTGTGTGTTGGTTCAAAAATAGTCGTCTTATTTGTATTATACATATGTCTATACCTATATGGTATATATTTACATATGTATTGCAATATGTGTATACATGCAGTTTCATATAAGGATATTCGCGTCTGAACGGATTCAAGGTTTGACTGTGTGGGTTAATTTCAGCGTATGTGTAATAAAACGTTCCTTTGATCTTGACCTTACGTCGTGCTTTTGGTGGGTAGGAGTGCGTGCCAGTTTTAGTTAATTGTTGGTGCTGCACAAAAATATTGGAAGTTGCTAAAACCGGTGGCGTATGAGTAACCAATGCAAAGAATTTAAAAATCTAATAATATTGTACATAAGATTAATTGAAAATTCTCCATTCCAGATTTTTGTGTTGAGATTTTTAAATATATATAAAATATTTACTTATACCTACATATATATGGTATATATAAATTTTGTGTAGTAAAAGAAATCCATTATTTTTCCAGTAAATGGCGTTATTTATCTGTATCTCGCGTTGTATAAGTCCGATCGGGTTCGGCTAAATGGCGTTAGAAAGATGATATTTCGTACTAAAAAAGCTTGTCCGACAGTTTTGTGATTGGTAGATTCATTTTTTTTTGAACGCGCATCAAAATTGGACACTAGCAAAGAGAAAATAGCTATATTTTACAGTTATTCTTTGATAAGGGCGAAAACGCAAGCCAGGCGGCTGAAAATGTGAATATCGTTTATGGTCCTGATACTATAACAGGCAGTCATGCGCTTCCATTCCGGTAATTTCGATGTCAAAAATGCACCACGCTGTGAAAGACCAATTATAGAAAAAATCGATCAAATAATGGAATTCGCCGGACGTCTAGGACCTAAACATTGTACAAAATATCGTTTGGAACCATTTGAATAAGGCTGGATACGAAAAGTAATAATTAAAGCATTAAATTTCATGCCAAAATAATGGATTTCTCCTTACTACACTTAATATATGTGTGTATATCGTCACTCAAAATGCAAAGCAACGTACCTTCAAAAAATGCGAAATTCATTTTTTTTTAAATTAATTACAATTCACGACATCATATTGCATATATATATGTACACAAGCTTAAACGTTTGCTATCAGATATAAGTAAGTTATAATCAAAAGTCAAAATAGCTTATATTTTTTATCGTTTTCTTTCTCCTGTAAACTTACATTTTACATTTAAGGTGACGAAATATTTCATTATACATATCATACAATCTCATCTTAATAATCTTTTATTGCTAAATAGTACCCTAGTCACAAATATTAAGCAAAAATTCTAAAAAGGTTTGCATCTTTAGCGATTCGGAACTATAATAATACATTCATCTGAAAACTTTCAAGTGAATTTTATCTTAGCAATTATTTGGCCGATTTGATTCGCATCGAATTCGACTGGCACTCCAGGAAAATGAGAATTCTATAGTAAATAATTATTATCCATTCAGTTATTTTAAAATTTGATAACATATGTTGATTTGGAAAATACATACGTATGAATGTTTATAGAAATCAATCGAAAATTGTAAAATATTAAGAAACGAATATATTATATTCCAGCAGCTGTTTATATGGGAAGTAGGCGTGGTTGTAGAAAGATTTCTTACTGTAATGTATGTTAGAAATGTCAGGATAATCTTATGTACCGTATTTGGTTGAAATCGGTCGAGTAGGTCCCGAGGTAAGGATTTTGAACTAAATGTGGGCGGTAACACGCCCATTGTGTTAATTTTATTTTGGCTTCTCTAAATAGTTCTTATATCATCTTAGGTGTAAAATTTAAAGTTTCTGGCGAATTTAGTTATTGATTTATCGCGCTTTTAGTAGTTTTTAACAAATCCGTTATATTGCGAGAGGACGGGGTTACACAGTTTTATATATTAGTTTAGTGCTTAGTTATGGCACTTTATGGTTTTCGTTTAATGGGTAATGGGCGTGGAAATGGTCCAGTTATTGCCAAGGAACATGTGTACAAAGTTTGATTACTATATCGCATTTTTACCCAAGTGACAGCTTGCTCAGACAAACTGATGGCGGTCACCTGGTATATAACGCTTTATCAATCTCGATTAGTGTTAGGTGATAAAAACAATCGTTAGGTAAACAAAACTATTATACTCTGCAGCAAGATGCTCCTTTATTTGTTTTATTAACAATTATTATATTAGCAATCTTACCTGGACCTTAAAGTTGGACCAGTCACCAGAAACCAAAGCTTAAGTTATAAGTAAGTTTTAGTTCTTGGTCCTCTTGTAGTAACCGGTCCTCAATGTTGACAGGCTTGATAATGAAATAACTAACATAAAATGTTTATAAGATACTATTTATACGCAAAACTGGGTATATTAAGTTTGCCGCCATGATTGTAACACATAAAAGGATGTTACTGCTCATTTGCCGGAACCGCCGATATCGGACATCTTACTTGTAAAGAAAACTTTTTCATTTGACGAGGTACCTTTAAGACATTTGGGAGAAATTTTTATCCAAGGCATCGCTACAATCTTTGAAGAAATTGCTGTGATCGGACAACTATAACATATATGTATGTAGCTGCTATACAACTGACTGATCAAACTAAAGTCCTTGTATGAAAACTCTTTTATTTGTCAAGGTCTCTTTATGAAATTTTGCACAGATTATTAATATTACAATAAATTGAGATCTTGGAATGTTTTTGTATTTGATTAGCCAATACTATTAATGTAGATACTGTATACTATTGTTCTTTCTTGTTCCTTTAGCTTCTCTTCCTTTAGCTAGCTTCAAAATGGTTTTTATGTAATTACTTTGTAATTGCTTGATTTTACTTAAGTACTCAAATTTATTGTTATGTTCTTACACATTGAACCATATGACGTCTACATTAAATATTCCAAAATTAATGTCACTAAAACTAAGTCAAATACATATGTATGTACCATATATATGTATATATATATATATATATATTTTTAATAAAACAAATTGTAAATTAGTTCGACATTTTATTGGTTAAAGTGAATTACATATCCAGACCCCAAACGCTATGTAATATTTGCCTCCAGTCATCTATGGCCATGAAACTGAATAAGTTAGTTGATAAAAAGATAATTGCGGACATACTAATATATGCTCTGCAGACTGCACACACAACGGAAGCGTTAAAGCTTATTGCATTTGTAGACAATTCACAAAAGCCCTACTACGGGCATACAAATTATCCACTTTTAAAAATTTATATATATTTACACACAAGACACACAGCCGCCGCAGTAAAACCACTAAAGAACAGAATCAAATGATATTTGATTATCCATGAACTTTATGTTGTCCACAACACTCAGTTAATGTGCGCTGGCGCACTTTTCTGTCATGCCGTTGGTCATTTTAGTGTGAAGTGAATTGAGTGGTCATATATGTATGTAGGAGTGTACTGGTAGAGGCGGGTGTGCCGCGTTTAAGACCCGACCTTTTGTGAACTTTGTTGCTATATCCAACTCTTGACGTATTTTTCGAACAAATCAACTTACAAGCATACATACACATACATAGATACAAATTATTATACATATATCTAACAAATTGCTATTACACTTTTAATGAATACATGCATATAAACATACATTTACGTGAGCGCATTTATGATATTCGTGTATTCGTGCATAAATACTTACAGATTTCAATTCGAACTTCAATCATCAAATCATTGCCAAGGTTTTCAAGTTATTAACCTAACAATATATTGTACTAATGTGCTTTTATACACGTATGCAAATTGTTAACATTTTCTGTGCTGTTGAAAGTAAAACTAATATTTCTAAATGCTTGCCCTGTAAGAACTGGCTGATAGCAATTTGAGACAAGTTATCAGTTTGAGTATTCTAAATTAGCCTGAAGTAATGCAGAAACAGACAAAATTATATATATAAAAGTATGTATAATATATTATATTAAAATTAAATATTAAAACATTTTCGCTTTATATTACTAACTGAATATTCTAAAATTAATAAAAATTACGAGAATATTGATACCCGAACGTTTGCCACTCCCTTCGTTTGTTTGTCTGTTGACTGCGTAAGTAATTCCCATTTTCCTTAGTATCCTTAGAAATGGGTAGTGGAATTTTGCATAAATATGGTATGTTCCCTCTAGTCCTCATATGCAAATTATATTCTTTAGAGTGCGAAATACTAAATAAAACTAAGCGATAATATATGGCTTAAATTAATGTGATTCGGTCTCAAAGTTCTGTGATACTGGCCCATACCTTCCACTATCAATAATATTATTATTAATTGAAATTCGGAAAAAGTATTCTCCTGATAATATTCTGCTTGTAATTCAAAAATTAATTGAATTGGATCAATACTTCCTTTAGCCCCTAAATACCTAATATAAAGATTATAATCTTTTTATTTTATCGAATTCGATAATTATCGAACTTCCGACTGACGTAATTCACCAAGTATCCGCAAATATGAGAGTTATCTTAATAAAATTGAGTAAGTGTGTTTTTCTAATAGTGGTGCATCTTTATGCTTAAAATGGATAAAATTGGGTGAAACGTCGAATTAACTCCTGTAGAACTGATATTCATAATTTCGAAACATCCGGCTGACTTTACTCCTTATATATTGGTGATGGACCACAACCACGCCTACTTTCTGCATATTATAATTTTAAATTCCATTTTATTATTCTACTTTACGGTATGTAAATCAAGAAACAATAAAGATATAGAAATAAATTTTTACACAAAGAGTGCCGTCACAGTATTCACGTTCGGTTCATCTGAGACTTGTCTAAGAAGATTTAGAGAGCATATACCCTATACATTATATTTAGCCGCTTTAGTTGACATTACATCACTTATATCTTGAACACGTAGTAAAATGTAGTAATGAAACTAAGAGAAAGTTTCACTAAGATAGCTCAGTTTTTACTCAAGTTATATTATATGCAAACAGACGTTCAGCTTGTCACGTAATCTATTCGATTCGTCATTCTGAATATAATGTGTATATAAAGCTATTCATATTCTGATTACTTTAAGGTATTACTTTACCTAAGTGAAAAAATTAGGATGCATTGGCAATATATAGGGGAGCTACGCATATAGAATAAGTTATTAATTAAATAAAGTCGCTGTTGAACTGAATTTAAGATTTATTTATGCTTATTATTAGTGATATCTATTATTGCTCAGAAAATCACCAATCATACCATGGTTGACTTGCAACAATGACGTAATATATTTTATATATGCATGTATAATAGAAATGAGTTAAGGTCTCATAACGAAAGAATTGTAACTTTATTCTTATTGCACAAATGTATGAGCATTTGTAAACTAAAAATCAATCGATTCGAATTGAGGATATGTTTGACCTTGAACCATATATTTTTTCGCCACGTCAGTTAGAGACGAAATTAATTGTAGTATTTTATATAAAAACACATAATAAATAGTTTTTCTAAGCTCTGCCTAAAACTCATACACTTACAAGTTATATCAACTAATAGCAATTACGTATAGACACATATGGTATACATGGGTATATTAATGCAACTAATTGGCTCTAAATTTGTTACAGCTGCTGCTGCTGCTGCTGATCAGCTGCGTGCAATTAATTGCTCGGACAAACGTACAAACAAATGTAATTTGGATCAATAGAAAATAAGCTAACCTTTTGAAAAGGTCAAGCATATGATTTTCAGAGAAAGGAGTTATTTTGATAGATACTCATAAATAACGCAAAAAATATGAAAAATACAATTTATAGCAAAACGAATGTTAATTTTTAATATAAAATAATTAAATTGAACACAACTGATTAAAAGTGGTAAATGTGCACATAATTATGTGTTTTAGGTATAAGAATGACTTCAAGTTCACCGCGAACACGTTGGAAGAATAACTTGTTTACTGTAAGCGTGTATGTGTGTAAACAAATTTACATTTATATGATTTTTTACCGCTGTTACCAGTATTGTACTTACAATTGAAATATAGCCGTACTATATCCCTATTAGGCATTGCGTTCACTTCTCTGGGACGTCATCCACCGACTATAAACTCTCACAAAATGCTAAACTCATTCATAACCCCCATCCGGTTGTTGGCAACTAGCTAGCTGCTAGCTGCTAGATAACCGACTTTTGTCGTCTCTGTTGCTACTGCTTCTCAGAGCACAACCGTCGCTAATCTTGCTTACCTCTGTAGATTTTTTTGTTATTGCTGGTACTGCCTCCTGTTCGTTGACTGTTGCACATGCGCATGCGCAAAAGCTTTCAATTTTAATACGCTTTTTGTTTTTGTAACTACACATTGTTGACTCGCAGCGAAAAAACGCTATATGCTAATAGCACACGTCGATTCAGCGCACTGGTTGTGTTCTTATTACTTAACATTGCAGAAATCTTAATTCACAATTATCTACTTTTTTTTGTTTCAGTATTTCATTTTGATTTTTGATTTTGCTTTGCGCTCAATATTCAAACTCATTCAACATAAAAGATCGTTTCAAAGTTATTCTAAAATCAGTTGTAGCTGAAACGTTGCTTATCTTGTAACAACTACTCGTCTGTTTACTTGTGGATGTGTGTGTAAAAAAAAATAAAGTTTAAATAATAATAGAAAAGTTGTTATAATAATATTTCGAAAATGACGTAAGTTCAATGTGGGTGCACAGAAAAGGGATATTTAAGTAATATTAATTAAAATACAATATTATGAATTCAGGACGAAATCAATAATAATGTGATTATATGTAATTTTTAGAATGTGAAAGGACTATAAAAAAAATAATACATATAATACAATTTAGAGTGCTAAAGAGTGATATAAGAACAATGTATATAAAAGTGTGTTTCTTACAAAACTTCAGCATCGTACTTAGAAAGTTATTAAACTAATTTCTATGATACAAGTGAAATTATTCAAAAGGGTGAATTTTTCTAAATACTTTGTACTGACCTAGAATGTGACATAGGTAAGCCTACCTATTTCTGTAACAGAATACATAGTTAAACGTCAAATAGTGTCAATATTTTCCAACTATATTGAATTGGCGGCTGAGTTATTAAGGAATATATTGTCCTTAATAACTCAGCCGCCGTGCCATGTTGGTGTGTCTGAAATGCTTCCAGTGTATTTCTGACAAAGAAAACCTTGCGATAGAGTCCATCTGTCCATCAGTTGTTGGATAATATCAATGCGTAATTACGTTTGTAAAACAGAAGGAAGAACAGAAGAAAAATAGACAATGAGGGCTAAAAGGCCATAATTACTGTTGAGATCAATTATTTCACAGATTTTACGAAAAACGTTTTTATTCTTACTAGGTGAAGTGGGAAACTTCCTACAAATTGCCAATTTAAATTAGTAAAAATCAGTTTGGTTCTGTTGTTGCTAAGACAGAGGTCTTAATTTGTAAATTAGTGAATTTGCAATATTTTTTTGAGTTTTTAGAGATACAGTAGTACAGCGCTGCTGTCATACTTCAAAATAAAGACACATATTTGGCATTTCTGTTTCGTATACTTTGGAAAATTACCGTTGAATTTATTAAAATGAAACAGCATTTAAAAATCTTTAAAATTTATTTCCAAAACTTGTTTTCGGTACTGCAAACACAAAGTACTCGTACACTAAAATTTTCTCATTCCCCACGCTAATGCCAATATCCATTGGGCTAATTGCTCCATCAGAAAAGTGAAATATACAGTGTGAAATTATAACTTATCGATGCGAACATTTAGTGAAGTTCTATGGAAACCATTTTTATATCCAAAATATGGTATAATTAGTTGGCCACGAAGTTTGTAACACATCAAAGGTAATATCGGGAACCTTTTAAAGTATATATATATGAGCAGCAGAACGAATTCAGTCGATTTAGCAATGCCCATCTGACCATCTGTTTGTATATACGTTATCTAGTCCTTCAGTTTTTTTAGATGTCGATCTGCACACCTACTTGACTCCCTTTATAGCTCCACATTTGTCAGAACCGCCGATATGGAGGCACAAGAGCATATATCTGCCTTACAAACTGATCGATCAAAATCAAGTTTTTGTATGAAAAATTTTTTTATTTGACAAGATATTTTTACGAAACTTCACATGGATTATTTTCCAAGACAAGGCGACAACGTTTTTGCTTATTTTTCAATATTATTATATACAAGTATGTATATACAGTAAATTGCAAAACGATGTTTTTATGATTGGAGATATGGTATTAGTTAGACATCAATATATATTATTTGTTATCCAACATTATTTGTTACTAAATAAATTCCCAACCAGTTAGTATTTTTTGTTATTCGTAGCTGGCAAGAGTAGCTGAAACTGTGTTCTAAGTCGTGGCATAAATAAATTAACAAAATATGATTAAAATATAAGCTATAACTAAATTAATGTTAAAAATATAAAATATTTATTTTCAGAAAAATGCACTCAGCCTTGCTTTGCCTCTCCCTATTCACGATCTCATGCAGCGCTCAATTTTATTTCCAACAACCAGTGCAACTGCCCTATCAACAGCATCAATACCTACAATATACTACTTCACCACCAGATTTCAAACCAATATCTGAGCCCAATCAGGAGGGCCCACCGCATCCTTCAGTTGTAGCAAATGCTCAGCGGGATTCACTTTTACCACCCGAATTGTCGAAGAGTCGGCGCTTCTATAGCAATCCTCGTATCGCCGCTGCACTTGCCAAAGAATCACTACTGACACCCAAAGAGATGGTCGTATTCGATCGAGAAGCAGAAAAAATCGATCGCAATCAAATTTATAAAATCTTCCACAATGCCGGTTGGGCGTAAACGACACGTTTGCTGTACATTATGTAACAATTCGCTCACTTGAGAACGAAGTGCTTTGCTTAGCATGTGTCTTGTTTTTGTTGTTAATCTCTTGCCAATTACACTCATCTAATTATATTTTATAATGCTCATATCTATGTAGCTGTAAGTTGTTGAAAAGAGTATTTATTGTTGTTAGAATTAATAAATTACGGTTTATAAAACTTTAAAAAATAATTATTAATATAATGTATAGTAAAATGTTGGTAATGTCTTGTTGGATCATATTTATGCAATTATATGCATTGAATATTGATAGTATTCAACATTCAATAGTATAGAATTAGGAAGCATTTGCTGTACGTCAGTGCGTATGAGTGATTTTTTATGACTCCTTTATAATAGGTACAGCTATTTCAGGTTTTATAACACGGTCTGAAAATAAAACAATTTTTATTTTTTTACGCCATTTTATACCGTTTAGCACGATTCAATATGCTTTGGGCTTAAATTTTATTTTTCAGATTTAATCTTTTCGAAATATGTTCATACCACAAATTTAGAGGAATTCCCTTTTTGTGGATACAACCAAGTTTACTGGTCAGAGCAATTGTTAATAACAAAAATGAACGAAATGATCAATATATTTTTTACATGGTTTTTTTAGAACCAATCTACCGTGTAAAAACATAACTTTAGTTTAGTTTAGCAGTTTTTCAGTTATCTAAAAAGTGAAGTGATGTCGTAATATTGAAAAGAAGTGTGGTTATGGTCCTATTTTCGCGAATTTCAAACAAACAGGACAGAAACAGAGTTCAAACATAACGAATAAAAAAGTGGTAAATCGAAGAGTCTGAAGATACATGACTCTGCAGGGCGGTCCAATAGGTACTTATCCTACAAAAGAAAAACGAAAAAACAACGAGATACTTCTCAGCATAGTCCCCTTTTAGTGCGACACAACAATGCTCCAACTTCATTAACTCGCCTGAAAATAAGATTTTTGGAGGTCTGCAAAGTAAGCCTTTATGACGGCGATAACATTCTTATTCGACTTAAATTTCTGGGTGGCGAGTGAACTTTTCAACACGGGAGAATACAGTGCGTGGAGCAGTAGGGTGAACCGAATAGTTTTTATGTTGGACGAGCACATTATTCTTTGCATTCTCTCCGCAGTTTGGTGTTTAATAGGCCAAATTATTTTTCATAGTAGAGCCCTGTAACCACTAAATCTAAGTCTAATCACTGAAAACTGTGAGCCGGTAGGACAGCCTTCGCATTGTTCGAAGCAGATTTGCCGGGTGAAGTCCACTCTACAGTCGGTTACTTAGTCTCTGGTGTGTATCAGTGTATTCATGTATCGTCGAGTAAACAATAGTGACACCCATCTGGCCAACAGCTTTCTTATTTTCAAATTTCATACCCGATGTTTCGGTCTTTTAAGACACCCACTGTCTCAGATATCCTGTGTATCTTCTGCTCCTACGCAATCCTTTTTATGGAAGCTGGCTCCTTATCAAAAATTTATGTGCGGTTTCATTAAACCAATTTTGGACAGTCACCAACGAAGCAGAAGAGTTACTGTATGTAGTAACCAAGCGCATTTGGATTTCTCTGCGCTCTTCCAAAATAAATAATCTAATCACCGACCGATATTATTATTTTGTTTCGGGGACACATCCGCTTTCACATGCGGACAAAACAAATCAGGCCCACGAGCGATTGATATTTAGGTTTATTACAAGTATGTTACAAACAATCAGTAATTTGAAACAAGTAAGAACGGATATACTATAGCATAATAGGTAAGTTAATAACAAGACCACATTTGTCTTCGTCTGGAGTATAATATCTAATTCAACATATATGATATTGTTTTCGTCTTCACATGATGGTACACCCCTATAGAGCTCTTCAAATCAATAAATTCAAAATATTTCTATCGTCATTCGTATTTGCATTTTTATTCGACAACTTATACATGGAGTTTAGAGGCTTAATTAAGAATAGCGTAAATACGCTGTCCGGCAATTATTAGTGTAAGTTTTAAGTTAACCCTTCAACCTTAGTGGAATCGGTTAAAACTATATAATATTTCTTAAAAACAATAAAGAGTTAAAATACGAGTATTCAAATTTGATTAATTATATGTTTGTAAGCATAGTGTCCTTAATTAATGGCAACAACAAGCACTGCAATAACAGCAAAAATTAGCCGCATCATATTTACTGATAAATAACCAACAGACTTAAGCGCGCACACGCTGTCGTTTTTGCTGATAGCTCGGCTCTACTTCGGCGTTGTCTTCGTGCACGGGAATAGAATCAGGCAAGGCGTAAACTAAATTGCCGTGCGTTGCGCTGCTTGGATGATGGTACATAACTGGAACACGCACCATTTCGAATTGACGCAGTTGGCCATTGGGTGCAAAGTAGGGCGCCTTATTGTAAGCGGAGGCTGGTGAGGCGCGTTCATGTACTTGTATTTGATGATAGTTTGTGATGGGTTCATGTTCGACGACTTCACGCACAGTTTGGAAAGGATGGTTTACCACAATGCGACGTTTATGGAAGCTTTCACTAGTTGCGGAGGCATCGTTAGGCGCTGGATTAGCGGCAATTACACGTGACCCCGGTGGTGTGGCTTGAGCACTTGCATCTTTTCCATTTGTGTCAATACTTTCCGCATCGGAGGATGCCGTTTTAACATTTTCTTTATTGTTAGCATTTGAGTTACTAGTGTCTATTAATCGTTGGGACTTAATTTGTGCCCTGTTTTGAGGTTCTGCAACATATTGCACGTTTTCGTTGTCACTTGGTTGTGGGTTTTCATAACGTGCACTTACTTTCTCTGCGTTCTGAACACAGTCGGGTTGTGATTCGATATTTTCCGAACGTAAAGCATTTTCTTGTTGTTTATCACTTTTATTAGGAGCTGATTCAGTATTTATATTTTCCACTTCTTCATCGGCGGTTTTTTTAGCATCAGGCTGATTAATTTTCGCAGTGCGACTACGTTCCTTAGGGGGGTTAATTGAAGACATAACTCTAATGGGTTCATCGGCTTCTTGTGGACCATATGGCACTTGTAATTGAATATGTGCAAGTGGGCGAATTTCCTCAGCTTTTGGTTTCACATCTTCATTGCTTTCCGCTATTTTTGTGGGCTGCTTTGTCTCAGACTCTGATTTATTTTGCACAATTAGGCGTGCATTAGACTCGGGACCACGATTGTAGTATACTGTTACGGTTCTTTGCGGCACATTCTCGTTTGAACTACGCTGATATTCCTCATCAGCAGTAAGACGTGCTGATTCATTTGGATCGTATCGCATATGTGAGTAAGGAGCACTATATTCTACTGCTGTTGAATCGACATCGGCGTCGGGATCGTAACGTAATTGTTCGTAACTGCGTTGAGGTGCAACGTATTGCGGTTGCCGACGTTCATTTTGTGTATATCGCTGTTGTGCGGCCACTGGACGACGCGCAGGAATGGCATATACAACAACACCGTCACGCTGGCGATCCAAGAACGATTTAACCTCACTCACGCGAGCGGGTTCTTCTTCTAAATGTGCAGGCTGTTGTTTAGCTGATGGTGCCTGCTTACGTTGTGCCTGTACAAGTACTGGACGATCTTCATACCGACTAGGCGCTAAATAAATATTATGCTGCGAGGGTGGTAATTTAATTGTGTGCTCATGCTTTATGATACGTGTCTGAGGCTCGGATGTAATACGTTCACTCTTCGCCGGTTCCACTTGTAGACGCGCAGGTTTAGGGTCTTTGTTAGCAGCACTATAGAAATTACCTGTGATGTACTCACCCTTATATTCATTATTATCGTTGTTAAAGTCATTTGGCACCTCCGGCGATTTATTTTGCAATGATTGTTCTTCGTTCTTAGAAAACCTTGGTCTGTATACTTGCTCGTTTTGCTGGGCATCAACACGTGCTGGACGTTGGTAGTTGCTCTCTTCACGTCTAAATGTGTTAGGCGAGAAGTTCCTGTTAGATAATTGACGCTGACTATCATGACTGTCAGCAGGTATGTAAAAGGTTTTACCCCGTGGGTTTTGCTCTCCGAGCGTAGTGTCAGTAGGAGCTACAAGTTGTGCCTCCTCACCATATTGTTTTCGTAGATTGGCTTCCACAAAATCGCGTTTGGCATTTTGGTTATTCGTTGGTGTAGCGGTCACTGTTGATCCAATATTTGTACCACTAATCACAGGTGCCGGATTTTTTCTCGCAGAATTTGCATAAACTTGATTCGAGTTCGAGCGTACGCCGTTGTTATAGGAACCCGCGCTCGATGACTCAGTCTCAATATCTGTATCACTATTAATATTATATTGAGCAGCAATGGCTGGATGAGGATGACCGAGGGGTAGCACCGTTTCACCTTTTGGAATTTTCGCAACAGGATGCTCCAGCTCAACAACTATTGTGCCAGCTGGTTTAATCACAACTCGTTCTTCAATGTCGTAAAATTCCTTTTGAATAGCTGGATGTCGTACTTCAAATTTCTTTGCTTTCAGCGCTGGCTGGGCAATTTGTATAGTTTTGGTGACAACTGGCCGTTGATACACGTTTGGGTTTACAGGCAAGTAAGCCCCATTCGAATGGTAGTTATCTTCTTGGTTGCCATAAAAGCCATCATAACCACCTGCTGGCTCATCTACAGATGGTGGATACTCGTTTAGAAAACCACCGGCATCTCCATGATCATAACTAAAGCTGGGTTGCCCATAATCAGGCTTAGCATAACTGGGAACTTGGTCGTAATTTGGTGGACTGTATCCACCACCACCAGCAACCCTAAATGTCACACCATGGGAACCACTGCTAGCACCGCCAAAACTACTACCAAATGCACCTCCAAAACTTACTTTGCCACCGTCACTAGTGGTAAGTGTATTTGTAGGCCCAGTTGGCACAACAGCTGCAACAGTCGCAGCTGGTGCTGGTGCATGTACAGCTACAGGGGCAGCAACAGCTGGTTGTGCAGGTACGGATGCAGGAGAAATTTGGATCTTCGCGTCGGGCGCTGATTTCGATTGATCATCCACGGGTGCTGCGGCTGAAGCTGATGCGGCTATAGCAGCGGGAAGGGCAACTTGCCTTTCAAAGGTGTGTTGCTGTGAAGGTTGCGTATCGATAGCAACAAGTCGCGCAGGACCAGCCGAAGACGAGGACGACGATGAGTACTCATAACGTCCAGACGGCGAATGATCGGCTGTTTCAAATACCTAAGGAATTAAAGTGATAAATTAGATAAAACAATTAAGAAAGACCTTAGTTCAGGTGTAATCCTTAATATCGGAAATATGTACTTTGAAGTCAAGTGGAATAACATAAATTCGTATTTATTATTGCAAGGGAAAAAATGAATCGATATAACTTCCTTTCGGTACCAAATCACAGTTTTGATACCATCGGCCAATTATCCCGAAAATTTTCACTAAACTGGACACAGATAGTTTTAACCGCTTTTGAGATATTTATATTATTTATATGACACTCTGAAAAGAGGTATCTTCTAATCCTTTCAAAGTTTTATAATCAAACTTTCCCTTCTACAAGTGGTCCTATTTATTTTTTTTTTTGGCGATTTCGCCTTTTTTTGGGAACAGTTATGTTTGGGTTTATCATTATCAATTACGTTATCAGTTTTATAAATATAAATGCAAAATAAAAGCGTGTAGGTTTTCTAATCATTTGTATATGATACTCGCAAACTACAAACTACTCTCACTTACCGTTTCTACTGTCGGTCCACTGTGATAGTTTTGTATATAACGCTCGAACTCCTGATTCTGCTTATCCTGCGCATTGGCTTGACGGAATTGACTCTGCCGATTCTGCTGGCGTATACGACCATAGAACCGTTGCTGCTGTGGTCTAAACACGTTCGATTGTTCCGAATTCTGTTGAACTTGCTGGGCGGGTTTTGAATTACTAACGAAACTCGAACCCTCCTCTTGCTTTTGTTCACTATTCACTTGAACTTTGCCTGCTTTATCATTCTCATCTGCTGCGCGCAACTTTGCGAAACGTTCCTCTCCACTTGGCTTCTTAGCTGGACCCGCTTTCAATTCGTCTGGTGCAGTACCCGCTAAATAGGTGACATCAGCCGGATTTGTGGCCGGGTGTTGAGCAATCGAGATGTTTACATGAGTTGCCGTGAAAGCTGTGCCAACAAACAGCAACAGCACAAATATCGTTCTCATCGTGATTATCCTTTATTGCGGCTAAACAAAAAATAACTGTTTTCGATTTCGAAAGCGTACGCGTTCACAATCGTTGACCGATGCGTTACCGATTTGTATTGCTGGCCACAGCTAAGTGAACTTCGAATGATTGGGCTGGCGCTGTTTTATATGTTATGCAACGCGATGAGCTTGTAATAAAACGCTCGGCCGATTAGCAGTGCCACAGTGCGAGCGCTTATTACAATCCAATACTCGTATGTGCAAACTATTTTGGGCATTTTCAACGTGTCAATATACAAATTTGTATGGAATTCAATTTCAATCGATTTTTAGAAAATCACTCTAAAATATACGCGCAACACACTCGTATATTTGCAACTTTATAAGTTCGTAGGCAAAGCAAAAAGTATTGTTTATAGTCGGCACATCACACTCCCAATCGCCAATAATCAAGCGATTGATCTTCATCGTTATGTTGTATCATGTCTATCAAAGCAGCAACCGAGTCATATACCGGCCGGCAACTGCGCGATACTGATAGCATACAGGCAAATCCCCGCACCAGGGGATGTCGAACAACGCACCGGCACACACGATCGCTAGCGACAACAATATCAGACCCGTTGTTGTTATGATCATGCTGTTATTTACGTTACTCGCCGTCTATAGACATGTACAGCGTGATCGCGAAGAAATGCATTGTCTTTAACCCAGTTATGCGTTCGAGGTGTTTGTTGAGTGTGTCAGCAAATCAGAATGTCACCTTAAAAGCTACACAAGGAATCTCCAATGCTCCGAATCCATTGCTCACGCGTCAAAGCTGAAGCCCGAACGTTTGCTCGCTGATGTAGGCGCATCGTTGCTGTTCAGATTGATTTATGATGTACTACTTTATGTTTGATATTATGCAATACGCATGCGCTTGCGCTTTTGTGCCACCTACTTTGCTGGAACGCTCGGCATAGTCGAACACACACAACGCTATAGAAATTCTAATTACTATTTTCGGCTTGCACGCACGCTTGTCAATGTTGTAAGCGCCTTAACGGTGACAGAAGAAGCGTGAAAATTTACGAAAAGGGTAATACCGTGCCGCTTTGTGGCAAAACATTTGCGGCGACAGCTATGCTCCCAGAAATGGTGGCATGCACGCATATTTGGTTAATTGTCGGAAGGTCAATTTTTTGTTGCAGTTGAGTTGAAAAACTTGTGCTTTTTAAGTTAAACTTGGAAATATCCAAATTCGCAGTTGTTGCGACTTATTCTGTTGATAATGCATTGAACTAGAACTAGTTGGCGTGCGAACTTGCATTTGAAAAAATTTGAAACATTTCTTGACATTTTTGGTTGAATATTTTTTCAACGTTTTTAATATTTTGGTGTGATGTTGCTGTTGTATTGCTGCCGCCAAATTTTATTAATATCAATACAATTGATTTGTTCACGTATCTCGTGAATGATCTCGACTTTATTGACATGTTGGGTAGCGTTTCTAGCAACGTATCTAAAGACTATTTTAGAATAGATTTGTCTTTAATCTAGTTAACTAATACAAGATGTAATACGAAGGATACACGACTTTTCGTGATCGTCGACGAAACTTGGATCCACTGTTACACGCCAAAAATTGAAAAGTTGAAGCAACCGTTTTTGGGATTCAAAAGGTGTAATCAACATCGACCATTTGAAGAAGCGCAAAGCGGCTGGGAAAAGCTGTATTAGGACTCTACTATGCCAAATTATTGAAAACAATAGGTTATAACTGCTACTCCATCCACCGTATTCTGTAGATTTGGAACCGTACGATTTAATTTTTTTTCCAAACTTGAAAAAGTCGAAAGCCGGTCAAAAACGGAGATCTACTTGGCGAACATCGCTGAGTTGAAAAGAAGAGCTAAAGTAAGACTTTGTTGAGAATTTAATTGCCATTTTCCAAAAATTTTCGGTTTTTTTGTAAGCTAATTACATATCGAACCGACCTCGTATGTCAGACATACTAGTAAAATATAGTTCAATATATTATACAATAATTCGATAGGAAACCTTGATATACTGATCGGGAATAAAGTTAATGTACCTACGTCACTCGCAATAATTGCAACAATCTAGAAATTATTTATAGCTTATAAAACATTATTTTTCTAACAACGCTCTTCCATTTGCAGGCTATATAAAAGCTGAGGCTTCGAATGCAGACGAGGCATACATAGGTAGACCGACGATAATTTGATGAAACATGTTCCTTGCATTCAGAGAAGATTGGTAAGGAATATGAGCGGAATCAAAACGGAAGTATTAAAGACATCCCGGTGTTGGATAGACCAGGAATGTTTTTTTGAAGTTTCAGTGCAGTAAGCAGTGTTTGCTTAAGACACGATATACATGTGCGTTAGGTTTATATTTATACTTCTGCCATAGAAAACAAATACATATACATATGTACATATACACACACACATCACATTGTCCAAACAATTACAATTTTCGCAAAATTTACTTGTGTTATCTTATTCTTCTGATTTCAAATTTATGGTTTCGCGAATTATGCCAAAAATACACAAAATCAAACATAGCAAAAGGCGAACTAAAATCGGTTGTATTCCCCGTAATAAATTACAATAAGCTGATGCGAAAGGTTAGTGTTCGTCACTTTAGTGTACATTGATAACAATATGCATAAAATAACTGTGAATGCTTGTATGTTTTTAAGTACGTGATGCAGTTTTATATGCGACTACTGTTGCTGCTTTGAACTATATATTCGGTGGCGCAAGCCAAATCATAAAACACACAGCCACGCATCACGGTGACAAGCATTACAATGCGATTATTTCGGAAATGTGCTTTGCATTTACAATATATCGCAGACCGTTAAATATCTGATTCTCTAATTATAAAAAAAGGTATTTTGTTTACTTTTTTTGGATAATTTATTTTTCAAGAAAATAAAAGTGAATGACAAACTTTTTGAAATCTGTGCTTTAGACAACAATTATAGCGCAGAAATAGCATAACCAAAAACTAAAAGTCTGCGTTGGTTATAAAGTATAAATGTAGATTAATGCATAATTTTTACTTATTTTAAATAAGTTGTGTTTGATTAATAATCAAGATTAATTTCAATACAATCGAGTTGAATTTAGAGTAACTTTTCAATATCTTTCGCAATATCCATTGGATCGGTTGTGGGAGCATAACGGTCCACGGGTACACCATCCTTGTTTACAAGGAATTTAGTGAAATTCCACTTAATGGAGCTACCGAGTGTGCCGCTTTGCTTGTGCTTCAAGAATTGGTAGATTGGGGCTGCACCAGAGCCGTTTACGTCAATCTGAAAAGGTAAAATTTCCAATCAATTTTAAGTTTCAATAGAAATGTCTAAAGTTAATTTTTTTGAAATGTATGTAACATGATATTTAGTAAAGAATTAGAATAGAAAAGTAAAAAAATAACTTTTTAATGAATACACAAACTGTAATAACGTGGAATATTTTAGTTAGTATCGAATTGAATATCGATTTTTTATAGTTTATACTAATCAATTATTTAGCACGAAAATACATTAACTTCGGTTGAACCGAAGCTATAATACCCTACACAAATATTAAAGATTCCATACAGGAACTAGCTTTTGATCGGTCAGTTTGTATGCACGGGCAGACAGACGGACATGGCTACATCCACTAAACTCGTCATGCTGATCATCTATATATACATATATTTTATAAGGTCTCCGACATTTCCTTTTCGGTGTTACAAACTTCGAGGCAAACTTAATATACCCTGTTCAGCGTATAAAAGTAGGCCATTAGAAACAAAAAATTATGAAAAACGTACCTTTTGAAATACATCACCAATGTTAGCTTTGGCATCACGCAAGTGGCACACCATTGCTTCACCATCCGCTTCCGGCATCTGTGAGTTGAACTGATTGGTGGGGAAATTTAAAATGCGCAAACCCTTTTCTTCATATTTCTCCAACAAAGTGGTTAGTTTTGCATAATTGTTTTTGGTTAAGCCACATTGGGATGCGATGTTCACAACCAATACAACGTTACCCTTGTATTTGTCCAAAGACACGTCATTGCCATACGTGTCTTTTACGGTGAATTCGTAAATTGTCTTGGCGGTTTTAGGATCTGGACCTGACATGTTATAGCTGTCAATCTGAAATTATGGTTAAAGTACGAGTAAAAGTAGGTGGCAACCGTACTAAAGCACAAGCAAAATGATACTACAAAAATTTAACGTGACAAAGCCTATTAGTATTAAACCGTTAGCAGCAATTCAGAATGTAGCAGTTATTTTATTATCGAACATAAACAAACACACATAAATACAAAGGTATATGCATGACTATATATGTATATATAGCTACATATGTATACACACGCAAGTCCTATGAAAAGTTAATCAAACGTTAGAGTGGTAATTGCAAAGTCCGAACTCAACGATGTGTACAGTTCTTGATATATTTGCATATGTATACCTACAGCTAATATCACAATGTTGTGACTATTGTTACGTACACATACATACAGTCTATTAAGCGTTAATATTTTATGAAGAGAGTTAAAAATCAATTCCGTAAGTGTGGTGGTTGTTTATGGGTACGCAAGTCGACATGACAGGTGTTAGTTGGAACAATATGAGTACATACATATAGTATACATGAACACACCTACACATATGTATGTATGTACCCAAATGAATTAACACCCAATCAACACTTACATTCTGGTAAGCTATAACTGACTATGAGTACTGTCATTTCCTTTGAAATGAAATTTTAACTCATATTATGTTTTCTAATGCTGCAGGATAAATGAATAGGTAGATACGTACTACAATATACAAGTATAAGTAATTTAAAGTAATAAATAGTTTTTTCAAGAATTTTTAACAACTAAAATTTTTTTCTTACAGTTTAAAATTTTTATATTATTTCCACTTTATTTTTGTCAATTTTGAATATGAAATATCTTTCCTTTTTGTTTACTGGGTATTTAAGAGCGCGTGGTGATGGTCATAGTAGTAGTAAAAATTTCAAACAATGTATGAATATGTGTAACTGTGTATATCAAAAAAAAAAAAAATTCAAATAAGCACAGTACGGTTTGTTTGTGTTTTTGAACGATTACTCACATCATCGACTTTTGGACGGTCACCACCGGTAGACGATGACGGGGCATTTTCGGTTTTTGCAAGTTGTGAGGCAGCGGCGCAACTGACCCCAGAAATCGGCAACAACACTACACATAGCCGATTATTTTTTGGCAAAGTGCTTGTATTAAATGGTGTTATCGATGGCGGATTTAAACAAAACTGACTGTAACAACGTTGCATCTGACGCAGTGGTTGTTGTTGCAGTTGTAGTCTTGCAGAGCGCAAGAACTTGAGAGAAATGGCGCTGCTATTAGCGATTGTTTGACCAATCCTTTGCAATTGATTAAAAGACATTGCTACTGTAATTGCAAAAAAATAAAGAATTTCTTATTAAATAAGTTTTTGTAGGCTAAATCATACTCGTAATACAAATTTGGTTTGAGCTAATGTATTCGGTTTAATCGACTAAATAACAACAAAGATTTATAAAGACATATTTAATTTAATTTGGACCGATAAAAGTAAAAGTAACGTTTATATTTTCTAATTGCCGGTTTCATTTGTGTGGACATACATTTTTTCGTTTTCACCGTCATAACAAAACATATTATCGTTTAATAAAGTACTCAAAATAAAGTCAAGTCATGCCCTTCAAATGTTTATGTGTCTGATCGATTTTCGAGAAAAGCGAACTAATGTACATATACATATGTACATGTTCATTGATAAGGAATGAAGATATAAGTAAGTATTTGTAAACACTCGTTCATATGTATATGATCATGGGTATATATTTCCTGAAAGCTATAAGAATCCTTAACACTAGAACTACGAAGATTTACCATATACCTATTTTAAATAGGTCTCTCTCTCTCTGAAAATTAGAAGCGTAAGAACAAAATAATCTGTACTATTATTCTATACACAAATTTAATAAAAATCATGACATTATCGTAAAATATTAAATAGGAATAAAGAGTAAATGGTATAAATAAATTATGCAACCAGTCATTTTGACCGGTTCTTAGTTCTAGTGTTAAATAATTATGAATAAGTAGATATTAGATTTTTTATTTATTACCATTACATATTATGAGTTTGATGGAATAAAAAAAAAAATGCGCCCACCTCAAATTGAACAACTTGTGCCATCTTGTCATAAAAGTTATAAACTATACCTACACATATTGGTCTATAATTATGTTTATTCGTGCAAACCGAAGAAATGCTGTAACTCGATTATTAATCCATTGTTCCATTAATCCGAACATGCATTGGTAAGCTACTGTCCGTCTTTGTCATCTTCATTTATTGTATGTCATTCGTTTGAAGCGTAAAGAACTATAATTTTTTTTCACTAACTCGAATTTAGGTGGAAGCTTATAATCGCTCTAGCTGAACGAACGTGCCAAAAGTGGTTTGCACGATTTAAAAGTGGTGATTTTGGATTGGAAGTCGAAGACCGTTCTGGGAGGCTAAAAAAGTTTGAAGCTGAGGAACTGAATGCATTACTCGATGAAGTTTGTTGTCAAACACAAGAAGAGCTGAATCATTGAGAGTCGCTCAAGCAGTCATTTCAAAACATTGAAAAGCGGAAGAATACATTTAAAAGCAAGGAAATTGAGTGCCATATGAATTGAAGCCTAAAGACGTTGAAAGACGATTTTGCGTATCAGAAATACTGCTTAACCGTTAAATAAATATGTCATTTTTGCATCGGATTGTTACTGGTCCATTACAAAAATCGTAAACGCAAAAAATCATATGTGAAACCAACCAGTCTAATCAACAGCAATGCCGAATATCCATGACAACGTTCCCGCGACAGTCGGGTCTACCTAACCGGATTTTTATCCGGCAAAGGACTGTCTCGGCAGAATTCTCCCGCTACAACAACAACACCAATATCCATGACGCCCAGGTAATGCTTTGTACTTGGTTGGGACCGGAAGGGCTTGCTGTGAAACTATTAATGAGGAATTTCCGAAAAATTAGACAAAACTAATTAAAACAAGTAAGGAAGGGCTAAGTTCGGATGTAACCGAACATTTTATACTCTCGCAAAGTCAAATGGTATACTCGTTTGAGATTTCTTCGTGGATTGACTGATATTTTCGGTAGAAGGTCAACTATAGGCACTGGGGTCCACATATTTAGTACTTAGGGGCTTGAACAGTTTTAGTTCGATTTAGACAATTTTCGGTCACAAGGTGGCATACTTTAAACGTATTATTCACGCAAAGTTTTACCCCGATATAATCATTGTTGCTTGATATGCATAGTGGAAAGTAAAAGAATCAGATGGAATTGAAAATGGTGTTATATGGGAAATAGGCGTGGTTGTAATCCGATTTCGCCCATTTTCGCACTATAACATAGAAATATGAAAAGAACGTTATGCACCGAATTTGGTTGAAATTGGTTAAGCAGATCTCAAGATATGGGTTTTCACCTAAAAGTGGGCGGTGCCACGCCCACTGTCTAATTTTGAAGGCGGTTTCTATAAAATCATCTCATACCATCCCATAGATAAAATTTAATGTCTCTGGCGTGTTTAGTGCTTGATTTTTCGCGCTTTTAGTAGTTTTTACCAGTACCTTTATATGGGGAGTGGGCGGAGTTGCCACCCGATTTCAACTATTTTCACACTGTAAGTAGAGGTTCTAAACACATTTGCTTTCAGTGAATTTTGTTATTATAGCATTAGCGGTTTAGGAGATATGCACATTAAACCTATTAGGGGCGGGACCACGCCTACTTAACTGCAGATGCCCCTCCCTAATATGAAGTTGTATACCAAATAACAGTATTGTATCTTATTGCGGAGCTTAGTTATGGCAATTTATTCGTTTTTGGTTAATGGCGTTTTGCGGGCGCGGCAGTGGTCCGATTACGCCCATCTGCAATACCAACCGTCTCACGGTACCAAGAAACATGTCTACCAAGTTTCATAAACATATCTCAATTTTACTCAAGTTAGAGCTTGCACGGACGGACGGACAGACAGTCACCCGGATTTCAACTCGTCTCTTCATCCTGATCATTTATATATATTTAACCCTATATCTAACTCGATTAGTTTTAGGTGATACAAACAACCGTTAGGTGAACAAAACTATTATACTCGGTAGCAACAGGTTGCGAGAGTATAACAAGAAAAAACGTTAACTTCGGTTGCACCGAAGCTTATAATATCCCTCCACAAATACAAAATATTCCTTAGAAAAACTTGATTCTGGTTTTTCAGTTTGTTTGATAGCTACATGCTATAGTTATCCGATCTGAACAATTTCTTCGGATATTTCAATATTGCCTTAGATAATAACCCTTACCGAATTTCGTGAAGATATCTCGTCAAATGAATATATATATATATATTATATGGTCTCCGAAGCGGCATATCTGATTTTATCCCTTTTTGAATTAAATCAATATACATAATCAAATCGAAGAATGAAAATTATTGAGATATATGCTCTAAAACTTGCGAATAATATACTAATTTTTGAGAGCTACAATTTCATCGAAAAGCGTATTCCACCCTTAGTGCAATATTTTAACTGATCGCTTACACTAAATCCCCTGTTTCGGTAGGTCGGTTAGAAGATATCGCAACACTTAATCTCTTTAAGACAAAATGCTTTACGTTTAAACTTATTGTATTTGTGAACAACCAACAATCAGAACAATTTAACATATTTAATAACAAATATCAATGTATATAAGGTCTTTAAATAACAATGATTTGTGTGAACTTCAAATAATATGCAGCATCCTATTGGATGTTCAAGATTTGTTTAAGACTAAATATTCGCTTAACAATTTTTAAATCGTTATTTACAGACACACCTTTATGTATACTTCCAACACAAAATTTGTTATGCTAGCATATTGTTATATAACTTCGTATTCGTTTTAAAATATCTTCGATTTTCCGAATTCGCTGAAAGTAAATATACTCGTATATTATATGTAGTCATATAAAATGACTAAGCACTTTTTGTTTGCATGCTCATAAACTAGATATATTTACACAAGTATGTGCTCATTTGCATTGCCGATTTAGTTAATTTGTCATACATAAATATTGATATATGCAGATGTATAATAATAGGATTCCAACGGTTAAGTCGTTATTATTTGGTTTAACTTCTGATTACGATATATTTATTTACTTGTACGTGGTGGTTGTAGTAGTAGTAAGTCCCGATTGCTGTAACAAGCGCTCCAATAAAAAAGTGCACCAAACTAGCCATGAGAATTGTGAAATGTGTAGTAAATATGTATGTTCTCACTTCTGTGTTAAACAAAAAAGATATATATATATTTATACTACCGAAATATGTGATATATGCCCTCTATAAACAAAAGCACACCCAAAAATTATTTTATTTTTAATTGTCCAGTACAAAGTTCACATTCCATTACGATACGTATGTGTTTAATCATTTTTAAGCGATCAATTTTTTTATAACCGGTATAAATATTTAAATAAAATTGAATATGCATATTTACAAAAATTAAATTGATTACTTACAATTTTTATCTATAGAAAAAATGTGAATTATAACCGGCTCAAACAAAAATATAAATTGCTTTATCACCCAATTGTGTTTGGCATTGTCATTGTTCTATCAGCTGATTTTAAGTTCCAATACAGAGTTTCATTCTTCAGTAATATTTTTAGGTTCCTTAAAAATTTTGTTTATGTATCCAAATTGCTGGATAACTTCCCTACAAGTCAATTAATGGTTAAAACATTGGTTAATAACCAGAGAGCAGTACTAGATGTTTTTGTTAAACTTTATATGAGTTTTTTAAGACTTAATTGACAAAACTGCTCGAAATCTCTCGTTCCGTTCATCCTTTCTTACGCATTGGGCTAATGAGAGGTATCGTGCGGTTTTGATAGTCTTCGTTCAAATTCGTTCAATCTACTTAAGTTTCGGGTAGTCGTAACTTGGGACTTAGCATTTAATCAAGTTCAGACCTTTACTTTAGAGTTTTCTTTAACAAAACTTATTAAATTTGATTTAATAGTACTAACGTATTTTCGCAATGTTAACATAATTATAATTAATTATTAACATTTTACAGCAACGGCCTTTTTTTTAGCCATTATTTTCACAAAGGATTACACACACTGTTTTGTGGAAAGTATCGATTGTCAAAGAAAATTTTCTGTCATACAGACAAAAACTTGTCTCGGGAAAGAAATTTATTTTTGTATTGTTCCAAAAGGAATCCCATAAAATATTCAAAAGAAATAGGTCGTCGGTTTGCGGAAATTGAAAGATTATCATTTATTTGAAATGTTGGAAGAAAGATCTTAGGCGGTCTACACCGAGGATTTAGTGCAAAGCAAAGGCCTAGCTAAAGACAACTCGGCAAGTATATAAACAACAACAACGCTTGATGTGCTCTTCGTATCATAACTAGCATTTAGAAACAATTAAAGTGTTCCGGTAATTATATGTTGTGTAGAAAAGCTATTTATTGTTTCTTAATAAAGTTTATATTTATCACAGGTTTTTTTTTACAACATCACTCTGTTCTATCTGCATTCCGGTAAGGAATCAAGTCTTGTTATTGGCAGTGGTGAGACGGCGTTGCCAAGAACGATTTCCAAATGATGTTGTCATCTATAAATAACTCCTTCGAGCAGGATACACATGATGTAGATGGCAATTGTGATGGGCCTGATTTGGATTTTGTTTATGCTGATGTAGATACTTATCAAAATGAAATTGCAGAACTCTATAGTTATACAGAATTTAATGAGCTTCAACAAAATGTTAAAGCATTTGAAGATCAAATGGAAATGTATGATTTGCCACCTAATTGGCAAAAACAGGACAGCTCTTCACAGCGCAGTATTATAATGAAATTGATAGATCAACTAGAAGTTTCAAGTCGAGCGTTTCGAATGCAGGCAGCCCGTTGTATACTCTATTTGGCACAAGGATGTTGGGCTGAAGTTCAGTCTGATGAAGAACAACATCAGATCACACGAGACAATATAATTGTGTTATATGAATTGGGAGTTTTTTCGTCTTTTATAGATCTGCTTAATATGGAAATAGAGAGCGCATGTTCTCCTGATATTGTTGCTGTTAAAATCACGAATGTTACTTTGGTAGACTCGACCGACTTACGAGTAATACTTTCGGTATTGTATATAATTGCGGAAACTATTCGCGATGAGTATGACAAGGGAAGTGAGGACTATAAAAATATTGCCGAAGCTTTCATACAAGAAATAAATAGTCCCCTAACTGACGGTGAGTTGCTTGCTGTTAAACTTTTAGGAATGATAACGCGCTTTTGCAGTGGTGCCGCACCTCACTTTCCCATGAAAAAAGTAGTCCTATTGTTGTGGAAAATAACTTTACTGGGGTTAGGTGGAATTGAGAAGTTAAAAAACCTTAAGAATGAATATCGTGTCAAAGCAGATCTAGAACCTGTTACTGAGGATACGTTGGAAGTCACAAAAAATATGCGTGCTAGCTCACCACCAGCAACTGCTACAGATATTTTGGATAATCAAAATCCCAAACGAAATGCATTTAGGTTAGTTGTGATGTAATAAATTTTAAATTTTTTTTTGTTTTATTATAATTAATTTTTTTTTATATTATAATTAGTTTTTTTTTTATATTATAATTAATTTTTTTTTTATAATTAATTTTTTTTTATATAATAATTAATTTTTTTTTATATTATAATTAATTTTTTTTTTATATTATTTATATTTACTTTTCTTATGTATATAATAACTTTTTTTCAATTTACAGACGATCATTGATGAAACAACGTTTTCTTGATGAGCAAGAACAAATGGACATGGAATTAACACCCGGTAATGAAAGTGCACCACCAAACAATAACGGTGGAAATGGAAATCAAGAAGAAGATATATCCCAATTTTACCGCCAGTTCGAAGATCCATCTGCAAACACAGCAAACCCTAATAATCAGCCGAGCTTCTCACAGCCACCACCAGTACTACCTGTACAAGTTACAACACGTTTGCCATGGATACCGAAAGTAAGGCAAAAGGATATTGATCAATTTCTGGATATATCTCGAAATAAATTTATTGGTTATTCGTTGATTGATGATCACGAGAGCCTTGCGGGACTGCCACAACCAATACATGAAGGCGTTCAGACTTTGCGACGTCACATGTATGTAAGCCTAGCTGATGTGCAAATAAAAAAAGAAGAAGAAATTGCCCGAAATCCGATCTCTACCCAAGAAGACGAAATCCCATTAAATCCCGCCGAAGTACTTTATCAGGCAATATTACCGAATTTGCCACAATACATGATTGCACTATTGAAGGTTTTATTGGCCGCATCGCCCACTTCAAAATCGAAAACGGAAAGCATTAATATAATGGCTGATGTTTTACCGAAAAAAATGCCAATAACTGACTCACAGAAACTAACTGTCGACATGAGTAGGCATAAGGAAATAATTGTCAAAGCGGTATCAGCTATCATTCTGCTATATTTGAAACACTTTAAAATTAACCACATATATCAATTCGAATTTATGTCACAGCATCTTGTATTCGCCAATTGCATACCTTTGGTGCTTAAGTTCTTCAATCAAACCATCACGGAATATGTAGGCATGAAAAACACTATACCACTATTGGATTTCCCTTCCTGTGTAATTGGAGAACAGCCAGATCTATCGGGCGAGAGCTTTGTTTATAGCGGTGAAACCGCCGACAAGCCATACTATTCGTGGCGTAACGTTTTCTCCTGCATTAATCTCTTACGCATACTTAATAAGTTAATTAAGTGGAAGCATTCACGAGTTATGATGTTGGTCGTCTTCAAATCGGCGCCAATACTCAAGAAAACGCTAAAAGTGCGCCATGCTATGATGCAGTTATATGTATTGAAGCTACTTAAAATGCAAACCAAATATCTCGGTCGCCAATGGCGCAAATCTAATATGAAGACAATGAGTGCCATTTATGCAAAAGTGAGACATCGCCTTAACGACGATTGGGCCTTTGGAAATGATTTGGAGTCGCGTCCATGGGATTTTCAGGCTGAAGAATGTACTTTACGTGCCTGCGTAGATCGTTTCAATTTGCGGCGCTATCCCGAAGCTACGCAGAAATGTGGTGCAGGCGGCAACAATGGAAATTCCGGAAATTCAGATAACTCTTCGGGTAATATAGGGGGCAGCACCGGAGGTGGTAATAACATGGCTGGTGGTGGAAATGAGGCTAATGGTTTCGGCAGTAGTTGTACGGGCGGTGGTGGCAACGGACACACACAATTAAATGATTATGGAGTCGAAGGTGGTTTTCCAAGCGACGAAATTTTGTCACACTCAGATTTTGCTTTCTTCGGGCACTCAGGCTGGTGGGATCGCAAAGTGGAATTAACCGACTACTTCAAGGAAAACTATTCGATATGGCTAGAAGAAGAAGTTTACAATAATCAAATCGATTGGGATGCGTTGTAAGAGGAAAAAAAACTGACACTTTAATCACTTCAGTGTAATCACCGTTCCGGCTGCTGAAGATATTGACTAATACATACAGCTTAACTACTAGAATACAGACATACGTACACATTAATAAAACACAAGTGCACGCAGAAATCGAATACTTATAAAAATAATATACATAATCTTTCATAGAGAGTTGTAAAATCGTACATTTGTAAATCGAAAAACTGTTAAAAATTGGAAAACCACAAATTCAATTGCAAAAATAATAATAACAAACGCAAATTGCTAGTTTTTAGTACACTAGAAATAAAATGGAAAAGCAATTACGCCTAATGCAAGTATTGGCTACGTCACCATTTTCGTCACTATCCAGACCATGTTGTTTTGCAGTCTCTTTTTGAGCATGCCGATTCTGCAAAGTAATTGGTGTTTATACAATTTATGCGCAAGACTCGCATATAAAACTACATTATATGATTATACACACACACATACAATTAATTGTTACAAATCATACTAGAACTAGAAACTTAACAGAATAATTAAAAAATGTTTGTATCTCGTAGTCACCCCACACAACATACATAAATACGCAATGTAAACAGAAAACACGTCATTTAGTAGATTATAAATATATACGCGTACACACACATATATTTGTAATGGCATGCATTGAAATTGAATACCATTGTAGTATGTTCACTTTATACAAATATATAAAAATCGTATGATAGGAAGTTTAAACAAAAAATATATAAATATTATATTTCGCAAGGTATTGAATAATAATTACAAGCGTAGCAAACCAATAAAAATATGAAATATTTATAATTCAGACAAGATTAATAAACAGATCATTATTAGAGTGAAAAACTTAAAATTTTTGTTACGAAACTCATGTTTATATGCGCAGAGATAAGGTAAATAGAATGAGGAATATTTAAGAGCAATCGATATGATTTCCATTGCTCCGTTCCCACTTTAGACGGGTCTACGTAACCGGCCAAGGACTGTTAACTCGGCAACATTCCTTCAAATTATTTCAGGATTGTTGTGTTGTTGTAACGGTTATCTGACACCCTGTGTGGGTGGCAAGGTTCAAGTTGGTTGTCATCGAAGTCATCTAAGGCCCAGGAAATTCCCACGACATCCAGTTCTGTGTTACCGGAATTGGATTTTATTCGGCTAAGGGCTGATCTAAGCGTGTTTGGATCTGTAAGTTTTAGGTTAAGTTTAGCTTGCGTGAGGGCTGTTTTCTGTCGTTACAACCACAATATTTCCGTTGTTCATCCAGTACTCTGTGCAGAAAAACAGTTTCTCTTTTACCAACTATAATATAATATTTTATTTCACGTTTTTTTTATTAATTATAATTTTTTATTTCACGTTTTTTTTATTAATTATAATATTTATAGTTCATTTACGTTCATCAGAATTATTTAATATTTTGTACGCATAATTACATAGTGGGTACAAGGTACGATGGTTCATCTTTAATATATATCTATATACAATACGTATACATCTTGAGTTTTAACGATTTCTGTACTCAAAAAGCCTGCAACTTTATTACAACTAAAAACTGGTATCTCAATTCTAACATTTTTAAAATATAAAATTTCGGTGCATTTAAATAGTAATAAATTAATGTAAATAATATATTAAAAAATCTTTACAATTGTAGCAAGCTTTAGTATTAGAGAATTTTAAAATAAATTCCACCATAAATTTACTGTTGTTCCATAGGGCTGGCTTTAGTCACATTACCACTAATACCGGTTACTAAACGTGCACTACTGCTAGCGCAACTCTCATTACCCAAGAGACCATTTGCCAAACAACTCGGTATGCCTAGAAGTTTTTGTGGTGGCGGACAGGCCACATCACAGCGTTCTTCAAAGTAGTTGGATATTTTTTGCAATACAAATTTGAAAATACGTTCTTTGCTTAATTCACCATTAAGGAACGTAATATCCTGCCGATCACGAATCTCATTGAAATTCTTCTCATAATGTGGCCAAACGCATATTTCAAAGTATCCAGTCACGTCCGGTGGATCGTAAGTGCGTTTCTGACGACGCGCATAGCATTTTTCATATGGTATATGAAAATGGAACTTAATATTACATAATGTTAATAACTCCGGCTGATTGAAGATGGTGAAACCTTCAATAATAAGCAGATTAATTTTGTTGTCACGCATATGCGCCAATTGTGAGTTAATACGCATTATGTGGGAAGAATGCGCCACATTGGCATTTGCATGAATATGTGCATGATGCTGAAGTGGTTGACAATGATGATGTAGATATTGATTGTGTTGATTTTGTGTTTGACTTTGATGTCGAGATGTTAATCCACATTGATTGATTTTATAGTTGTTTGGATGGTACATTTGTTGCGAAACTGGTTGCGCATAATGTTCGAAATTTGTTGACATGGACATCTCATTAATGTAATCAACGTATTCCATGGGATCATTAGTCAAGTTACGTCCTTTCATTATCCATGCTATGTCAGAGAGCATATGTTTCATATCGAGCGAGCTTAATAGCTCAAAATTTATCACATTCAGTTTTTCATTCCACTTGTGTCGCAAATCGAAAACTGGCAAAAAGTAATCATCTTGTGAGATTAGCTGTACATCACCCACAATGTAGGAGGTATTCCACAGTGATCCGCCACGTGATTGTTGAAAGTAGTCCCGCAAGCGGTGTGCCAAAGTTGTTTTACCACCACATGTTACACCTGAAACACCTATTACCAGCCACGGTGGCATTCTGATCGCACCGTTCGTACTACACCACTTCAATACACTTACTGCAGGTATTTGTCGAAAGTTAAAGTATGCAATTTTTGCTGATAAAGTTCGAACGGGAAATAGTGTGCCAATGTTAGATAACCTTTTGAACCAGACGTTCACGCGTTTCACAATTATTTGTTTTTCACTGATGTTTATTTTGTTAGAACAAGTTAAGAACAGCTAATGACGCATTTAAATAGTTTTTCTATCCCAAATATGATCCCAAATGTGATACAGCGTGTATATTGATATGCCACCAAGAAACATCACCCCAAATACAGTGGGAAATATGAATGCATATTCGAGCGGCGGAAATAATGAATGTATGAAGTTACCTATAAATAGAGCAATTAAGAAATAAAACTTTATATTGCATCAATTACAGTCGTAACATGTGCATAAGAACAGAATTTAGAAAACTAAAACACTTTTAATGAAGTCTTTATACATGAGTCGTGTTTTTCGTTTATGGAACTAAAATGATCACACAATATGTTCACTGACATCAGCTCACATTAATTGGAATACAAAAGGACCGCCAGGGTCTTTAGTTATCGTATAGAAATCTTTATCTTTGTCATCACTTCGCTCACCTTCATCAATTAACATAAACGGCAATATGGATACCCAAAAGAAATAGTAGAGAAATAATGTGAGTGCAGCGACGACCACAATTTTTCCAACCTGCGAATTCGAAGCCATTAACAATGGTATTGCTGCTGCGTCACAAATAAAATGTGCGTGTTGTATATTCGGCTAATAATTTGTGGATGGAAGGAGCAGGGTGTGCATGTGTAAACACTTGTAGGTAGCACACTTTGCAAAGCTATTCTTAACATAAACAACACTGTAAAATGTTTTTTGTAGACCTTCTATGAGCAATATGATGACGAAATGGATAAAAAAACAGCGAATCGTTAATTTCTACTGCACTTAAAACAATAACGAACATCAAAGTTCATTTCCACAAGCCTTATTTTTTATTAAATATTACCCTCACACAATCCTAATAGAAGAACTTGAAATTTTTTTGTTTGTTTTTATTAGAAGCAGGGTTGACTATGATTGCTTTAGCTTTCTTTAGAAAGGGTTTGCATTGCCGTACAATATGAGATTCATAATTTCGGCTATTTGAGAAAATAATTTCTTTATTAGATAATTATAATTATATCACATTTTTAAATTTCACCAATAATTAGTTATAATAGAAATTATTGAAAAAATTACAAAATATCACTGATGTACTGACAAGAACAGCTGATCAAATAAGCAAATAAAACAAGTTATGGTAACCCATTCTGATTAGCATTTTACTAATGAACTATTCACAATGCGAGTTACGTTTATAGTGAATAATACTATTGTATCGATATAAGAAACGGAAAAGGAAACAATGATAGTAATATAATTATTATTAATTAAAAATGATATAATTGTACATAAGCAATTAAACTTAAAGTAAATAAATATAAATACATAATAAAATAACAGCACTAAGATTATAGTAAGCTCTCCCTCATATTCATAACTGTAAAATCATTCGCAAATATTCTAAATTATATATTTCCGCTTTTGTCCATACAATATTTTTAGCGAATTTCCCCACAATTCATCTTTGCATAGTCGGTGTCGCTCATAACTTCAAAACTACTGCACCGATCGTTTTGAAATATTGAACACTGTTTCTATACATAATTTCAACGTAACGTTGGAGCGTTTTTTTTTTCAAATTTGTAATATTTTTCATTTTACAACATGATTAAATTTTATAGGGTTGTGTCGATATGGAGCATGCTTCCCCTAACGAAAAAGTAGTTTAGTCCACAATGCCAAAAAAACTGTTTTTTGTTTTTCACATGATTTTCCTGTTTACATTTCAATGATTTTGTGTAATTTACAATCTATTTGTGTTTAGTTATCACTCAAAAAACGCATGTCCATTGGTTTAAATCTTTGAAAAAATTATATTTGAATCATAAAATCCCAAAAAAATATTGTTGTTTTTGGACTATCGACACCACATTATATAATTAAGTCACGTTTTACCATAACAAATTAATCGATTTTTTCGCTAAAAGTCGAGGTTTTTAATTCAAAGTGTTCTAAAAAAATAAAAAAATTTTGATTTCGAAAAACCTTCTCGGCGTTGCCTGGTGGAAACTATTAACTAACGAATTAACCTTGATTTTAAAGTTGTGTTCTACTATACATTCAGGTTGAGTAAAAGTAACCGTAATTCTATTTACGTGTACTTTTATGGTTTGATTAAATATTTTTTGAGTTATACGAGATTTCCGACGACGCTAAAAAAATTTCCTCTGCTGCTGTAGTGATTCCGGCCTTCTCCGAGGATGAAATCTAAAATTAAAAATTTATACTAATACCTACGATCAAGAGAAACTGCATCAAAAATTGACAAAATGGCGGCGTTAAAAAAAAAAAGAAAGTTGAGTTTCAACTCAAATTTTGGTCGTTTTTGGCCTGTTAGTTTTTGATAAAATCAACAAAACGATTCAGTCCTTGTATGTATACAGAATAGGCAGAACAAATTTCATGATGATCGGATTAGTGGTCTTCGAGTTATCACCGCAACAAATTCGAAAGATGTTGGTTGGTTTAAAAATAAACTGGTAGACGGGACGGAGCGGATAGCAGCTTTTTGAGGATGCAATTGCTTTCCTGAACTACACAAGAATTTGACTCACCCCAATAGCGACAATTTCGTTTGTTGACGAAGACATTAAGCCAGAAATGGTCCTCACCTGAGAAGATGATTTTTCGATGAAAATCGAAATTGCAGTAGCCACAGGAAAACGTGAATTTACGTAATAATCTTGGACAGTTTTCAAGCGTTGTAAAGTGTAAAGTGAAACGTGACATGATGAAATGACAATGATAACTGAATGTCATGTTGCGAAGTTGTGCCGGCGATATCGGGAATCCTATTCGACTAAATATTATTTGAATTATTATGTTATTTTTGTTAAGGGCAGACATTTTTGGTTTATAGTGAACTCTAATACTTTTGTTATTCCACAAACTTGCACCTAATTATGAAATCCTCTTTATTTTCTCGAAAGAATGCAAAGAAATATACTGTAATATATATATTTTGTATTCGCCTATATATGAACATGGTATCTGAAAACAAGTTGAACAAAACATGAATTGTATTTCTCTTGTTAAATCTCCACCTTTTTCTCATGAGCTAATGAACACTGCTATTGCTATGAACATAAATGCAAATATAAATCGGTCACATCCGTCCTGGAATAACCCAAGCTTCATTTAAAACATATAATAATTATCGGACTTCCCTTTGACTTTGAATGTAGTTTAGCGTGAAAAACTAAATCGATCCAGACCTTGTTGTAACACAGATTGTAAGGTGTCATACTCCATTTTTATTATATTGTTTAATGCTAAAAATTTCTGAAATCGATTCATTAAAATTAGATTATCCATCCTGTTGACATGTATTAAAATATACATATATTACTTTATATATACTCGTGTACAAATATTATATTTATTATAATGTTTTATACAAAGATTATTAATTACGAATTTGATCATTGTTTCAGTCTGTGTCCACGTAACTTTTTGTTAATTCGAAGAAGCTCTCTCTTAATGCAGACCGATATTTAGTATGGAATTTCCGGCGTTTGGCGGCACATTCATTTAATCATCAAATGCATTTCTGCAAAATGAAGCGCAAAGGAAATGCCAATTGGTTTAGGTAGGCGCGTTTGATTACTTATTATTAGTTTATATTTGGGGGGCTTTATGTCTAATTCGGAGAATGCGGTTACCCAAAATGCAACTGTCTGATTTGCCTCTTTTACCGACTTTTTGTGAATTTTTTTTTTAGTCACAAACATGACACAATAAGATTAAAGTCTTAACACAACTTGTCCAATTGGGGTTTTCAAGGTAGGGAAATGAGGCACCCCATGGGACCGCTATGAGTTAATTTATCTAAGCAGCGAGAAATATAAAAATAAGAAATTAATCAAAGATTTTTTTTAAACATAAAATATTTTACCTCAAGAAAATATTCAAAAATTGTTAATAATAAAATTTACAATATAAACGAAGGCCTGTGAACTATATTTCAGGATGTACTTAGATAAAACAAATACATGAAATTAAATAATTTTTTCGCATTATGTTTTCTTTATTTACGAATTACTATATTTATATATTTGCGCTTTTTGTTTGAATTCCCATCGTTGCTTTGCATTTGTTCCATTTAAAAATGCGAAGAGCTCAAAGTGTATAAAACAAACTCACCAACTGGTGTTAATTTCGGTTTTTGTTTTTTTTCTTAACAAAAATAATAGCAAATTCGAAGAGATCGAGAAACAAAAGTGCTAGTTCATTCATTCCTTCATACCTCTAAATACACACATACATTAATATTTACAAAACCAAAATACGAAGAGACAAAATTAGTTATTGGCGTAAATTGCTGGAATGCTGCCGGTCAAGTCGATCACTGTTGCTAGGCGTCCACCAGCTATGCGGTTGACGTCTAGACGCCGCTGTGTCTTTTCTACGAACGAACGGTGTTCATTCATCCTCATATATTGGGCATTTCATTCATTTTAATTAATGCGTTCACATGATTAAGGGTTGAATAAGCGCGTAGCGCGCTTCGAACACCGAATAAGGAAAAGATACAATACAATACATATATTCCAATTCAGTGATCACGCGCCAATTCGCAAGCGCTTTGTTCTTCACATGATGATACTGCAAAATTGGTACTCAAAACTTCTGGTGTTTTCGTAATTACTGGTTAATATCCTAAACATTCTTTTTATACCCTGAACAGGGTTTATTAAGTTTGCTACGAGGCTTGTAACACCCAGAAGAAAACGTCGGTGATCCTATAAAATATATACATACATAAATGATCATCATGACGAGCTGATTTGATTTAGTCACGTCCGTCTGTCCGTCTATATTTATATATACGAACTAGTGTCTCAGTTTTTGAGATATCGGTCTGAAATTTAGGATATAGCCGTTTCTCACCAAGAAGCTGCCCATTTGTCTTAATGGCCGATATCGGACCACTATAGCATATAGCTGCCATACAAGCTAAATAATCGGAATCAAGTTCTTGTATGGAAAACTTTTTCATTTGACGAGATATCTTCACGAAATTTGAAATGGATCATAAACTGAGGCAATAATGGAATCTCCGAAGAAATTGTTCAGATCTAGTGATTCGAATAACATATTACTGTCATACAAACTGAACGATCGGAATCAAGTTCTTCTAAGGAACCTTTTGTATTTGTGAAGGGTATTTCGCTTCGGTGCAACCCAAGTTAAGGTTTTGTTTTAAATAATAATTTCACAATATACAACCGTATTCTTTGTTATTGTATGCATAGTTGGAATTCTTTTAGTTGAGGGTTATCGTGCTCAACATGGGCGCTCATGTTGGTATTAATAGAAATAAAATCATTAAAAATTTTAACAAAAACGCTAAGCTTAGAAAATTGTACATACTTATGTAGATTGTTTCCATTTTGGTTAGTCACTTTTAGTTTTGGCAGTTTTTTTATTGTAAATATTAATAACGTCTAGTGCGTACCGTGGAGCGTTGACCTTAAGGATGAATAATTGAATTATAATGTACGCGAGTGTAATAGTTACAAACAATATTTGGATTTAGAGCAGGTATCTCCTAATAATAATTAAAATTGAATACACAGGCTCTTTACAAAAAAACTAAAAATAAATATTTTCTATGAAACGCCGTTTATGGACGATCAAGCGAAGATTTATTGGTCAAGCGTTTTAATTTCATAGAAATTCCGTTGACTCATAGTCACGGTTAGTTGATGAATACGCATTTACATATGTACATAAATATGTATTTGACAATATGTATTTATATTATGCGAATAACGACCGAATTTTTCAAACTAAGCAAAGTAAAATCTATGTTAAACAACAATGAATGCGAAAAATGCAATGTAATGCATAATTTGATGGTTTTCTACATGAGGAATGATTCACTTTTGATTGGGCAATGTACGAGTAATTTGCTTTGGGCATTCAACAGAAGCCAATATAATATATACATATATATTCTTGTCAAAAGCATAAGAAAATATAAAAAAATATCAAATACTTTCAATTCGATTGCTATAATCATAGGCTCTTTAATTAATATTTACTCTCTCAACTTCTATTTTCAACAAACTTAGGCCCCTACTGCGGTTTTCAGCTCAACTGCATTTTGGTTGAAGTTTTGAAACTCGGTATTATCGATATCAACACAATCCGTCAACAAATTTTCTTCTCAAATATTGTCAAACCTAAACTTTTTTGTGATATTACTGTTTACAGCGCTGTGCCAGTACGGTTGAACTACTTGGTCGCAGTTGTACAGTTTATTTCAGAAAAATAATAATTAAAAATGAAAAAATGGTAAATAAG